AATCAGAATGCTAACTTAGGCATCGGAGAGTCCCCGTCGGGAAAATACCCCCGGGTCCTCTGATTCAGTTCTCGCAGGTCCCTCAGCTCCCACCGCCTACAAAGGAGAGAAAATCACCTCACGCGGAGGGTAGTCGGGCTGCGTTGCACCAGAGAGCTCCACCATCCTCTGAGTTGCAGGCCACCTAGGAGCAAGTCAAGTGACGAGTCCACCAGGCAGTTCGCCACTAGGGAGCACCACCAGGCAGTTCGCCACCAGGGAGCACCACCAGGTAGTTCGCCACCCGGCAGTTCGTCACCAAGTAGCTCTCCACCAGGGAGCTCGCCACCGGGCAATTCACCACCAAGCAATTCTCCCCCAGGGAGTTCGCCACCAAGTAACTCATCACCAAGGCACGTCACCATCGGGTCAAACAACGAGATACTTAACCAAAAAATTTATACATCACAAAAAATGGTACGTGACCAAAAATGGTTACATAAGAAATCAATAAGAAATAGATAAAAAATAAGTTATTCTCCAAAGGATACTTGTGTTTAAGGAGATCCTGATCTTAAGAACTATGGCTCATCAAGTATAAGTATTGCTGAACTGTTGACAATTTAACAAGGTACTCTCCATCTACTGAGCTTAAGTTCTTGGGTTTGAATTTAATTGGATATATAGAAAAGAAAAATGAGAAACCCAAGAAACAACTTCGATCAAGCGAGAGGCCTTTAGTTGTGGGCATTAAGATGAGCTTTATAATCCGATTGAACATCGTATCCTTCGGAGCACTTCTCACACACCCATTGCTTGTGATTGTTGTGCTTCCTTCTGAAATGCTTCTTTATGCTGACGAGATCGCCCAGTGCGTGGCAAGGGTCATGGTGCAAGCAGCTAGGTTTTGGGCAAACAAACACTCTCTTTCAAACCTCTGGTGTCTCCCTCTTGAGTAGCTTCCACAGCACCTTCCGCTGGCACAGGTGCATCTGAAGGTTCTGGTCTCTCTGAAATCCCTGATTGCAGATCTCGCAAACACAATGGTTAGACTCTAATAACGTCTTTGAAAGAAGCCCTGTTTTTTGCATTTTGTCTTTTTACAGGTGATTGAACCGGGTTTATTCAGCAAATGGCTGAAACACCGGTTAAAGTTAATGTTTATTCAAACTGCCGACGTGGTCGTTTTTGGTTGGTGGGTTCACGCATCCAGTGAACCCACGGGTGCACTTAACGCGGACTCATAATTATGTGGATTTAACAATAAGTAGATTTATTGTATGGCACCATAAAGTCCAGTTGCCAGCATTACCAATACATGGCTAACGTTCAAGTAACAAATAAATAAATAAATAAAACTAATAAAAAAAATCTAAAGCATTTCTTCACAGAACAAAGTCAGCTACATGACTTTAGCCTAAGTTGCACCTAACGTCTCAACGCCTACGCATTAACAAGGTTAAGGACTTGACATACATGAAGCTATAGTCTCGAAAAGAAAAACAGAAAAACCTCATCAGTCATCTTAACATTACGCCCTGTATAGCCTCTTCAAACCAGATTTGTTTGCTGCAGCTTCGCCGTTATTATGGAACACTGCTACGGAACCAACTAATTGTTATTCAGAGCATCAGAGCTTTGCTTCTTTCTTTAGAAGGTAAAAAGGCCAGCTGAACCTGAACATTGGAGTTCTTTACCTCCACAATGATAGAAAATAAATTGTTCTACTGGAACCATAAATACACAAATTTAGATGGCTTGAAATAACAATATCATAGATCAGACAAGGGCCGTGGAAGTCATTTACTGTATCTGAAAATGCACAAACAACTAATTCCTTGCTTTTCATCATGATATCCGCATATACAATTCAAGTCCAAGCTCCTTATTAAGAGCAACAGATGTCCTCCTCTTCAATTAGACAAATCAAATTATTCACTCCGCCAATCTTAAGGTGTGAACAAACAGAACCAGATGTGGGACAACCAAAATCCAACACTATTTTTAAGGTGGATGTTGGACAATACAAGTCGTTCCCCTATGCAAAATCACACTGGTAATTTTGAGAATTTAAGTGTGCATAATATATAGCTCATTGCTTTGCAAATGGGATGATACATTCAAGCAAATGAAGAAACTCAAGTCCCAAATAATGACTTCAATATACTTTCAAGTATCAGGGACATTTAAATTCTGGAAGAGCTCTGGAAGGTGGGCATTGGTTAGCTTGGTCCTCTTGCTAATTTCACGTTGTTTCTTCTTGGGCTTGGACTTTGGTGCAATACCATGCACCTGGGCCATGGCCCTTCTCTTGGCAGTGTTGGTTGCAGGCTTCATTCCATTCTTCTGGAGGTCCTTCTCAATGTCAACCATATCACGTGGAAGCTCAATACCCCTGAAGAGCTGCTTCAAATCATCATCTACCTTGATTGGAACTCTGGGATCATTTGGGTAAGCAATGTCTTCTTGCGAATCAAAATTTGAGAGCAGCCAAACCTGTCCTGCAGCCTTCAGAGCCTGCAACAAATATTATTATGCTTACTATCATATGCCCCAACCGTCTAAAAGTCACATAAAGTATTGTAATTGTGTTTTGAGTGCTTCACAAAAATATCATTAATATCACAATCACAACAACCATGCAACAAGAAAGAATCATTGCACCATTCAGTAAATGATATGTACAACTGCTGGTTATTTAATGAATATACATTCACATTCACTATTCAAGTGCGCTCAATAAATTGGCCCCTCTTGTTCCAGAATAGTCCTTTTCAGATTCTTCCAAGCATCCACTTACATGAACTGCCTCATAATTTTAACAACTCTCCAAATATTTGGCACAGGACTAGCAGCTTTGCTACTATTATTATGGGTAATTGCAAACTATAACAAACCACACATGTCATTCATAAACATGCTATTACACATTGAAATCATGCCCTTTCCTAATGGACAGCAGTCCATTCATTGGCATAAAGAAATGAAAATCTAAAAACAAGCATTAATAACGGTAAAGATACCTGTAAGTCCTCCATTACAGTTGGATACGCATCCTTCAGATCAATGATAGCAATACCCTCGGGAAACTTCCGTATCAAGACAAGCAGTTGGTTCTTGTCCTTTAAATCATGTTTTGACTGTATAATAATGCAAAACCAATTATTTCTTGACTACCTGAAAGGCTCCATGAGGAAAAAGTACCCATCTAATACATTCTGAACCACATATTGCCTTGACAAATTCTGAAAGCGTCCCAACCACTAATGATATATAATATATTTGTATTCTCTGAAGTAAAAGTAACACTTACCTTGTAAGAGAAACGCCTTCCATCATAGTTCACTTTAGGGTTATTCCTCAAACTGTCAAAAACGGCTTTGTTGGAATTTGTATCAACATAACATGCTTCATTTATCTGCTCTGGGGTGAATGCTTGCCGTGTCTACAGAAATTCAGAATATACAAAAACTGATTGATTAACTTTCAATAAAATATTGCTAACCTTTTGACATGCTACTTATACCAATGTTATAGCTTTTGAGTGAATTAGATTTGGCTGGAAATGGAACTTCACTTATATTTTACATTTTCATGTAATTATTTGCAATGGAACTTCACTTATACTAATATCTCATAGTTGCCATTTGAATCATTACTTGTTATGGTAAAATCTCAGGCAAGTAAGCATAAGAATGTCAGTTTGAGTCTGAGAGAGGCCACTTTGTGCCAAAAGACAAAAGCCAAAAGGTTAGGAGTGCATCCAGTCTACCCCTCCCAAGACCACAGATAGCTAGGACCAACATTGAGTAATGACCTTTGGCCCTTTGAATGTGAATTATACTATATGATATGGCATAACAATTTCCTTTTCTACAAATATTATGCCACATTGCCACTCCTAATTTACACTGACACCATGAACCTAAAAAGAAGAAATCCAAACTCCATGCAAGAACAGGGAATAAAGCAACTTTTAAGGGTAAAAAAAGGCAAAAAATGGGCTCCAATGAGAAAAGCACCCAAAACTATTAGACAGTTATGCCCTTTAGCTCCAATCAAATTGATGTACCTTTTTGACATTTATTGTAAATGAATAAAGTGCATAATTGACTCATGTCATTGTGGTGTGTTTCTGTGTAATACTCTTAAACTGGACACTTATGAGACTCGTGTTAGTTTAGAATTTTCACAACCGTTGGATAGATCTAGGGAGATTTATCCTGCCAAGGTCAATACTGATGTGCCGCCAAGTTGGTTGGGATGGCTTGTCTCAGCTACCAGGGTGAGACCCGAGGTACATGCAGTGCGGGTTTTCTTGAAACCCTGAACCGGACCAAAATTCCAATATTGCCCTGGACCTTGGAGATAGATGGGCAAAACTGGAATGTTACACGTGACCCCTATACTCGATTATGATACTGCACTAGATGTCAGATTGGGCTGTCTTTGATAATGCCAATCAGTGAGATCTTTAGAGGAGGTCAAAACCTGGGTATGTTAGGACAGTCTGAGAATTCATCTGAGTGGGTGATCATAGTGACAGGATCAGCCCCTTTGCCAGACAAAGCGAATGATCGGGGATGCACTCTCTCTGATGGAAACCTAAACTGCAGGCAGTTGATTTCAACCGTTGAAATTTGTTTTGCAAAATATATTTATATAAAGATATGCATATATATATATATATATATATATTATGGTTTCAAAATGTTTGCAAAAAGTTTTAATTCCTAGGATCCATGTGAGTAGAGAGTGCAGCACTGCACCTTGTAGCCGAGAGAGAGGTCCTCTCTTGTCAGAAAGTGTTTGATCATTATGGGTTGAGAGGTTAAGTGTAAGACCATTGAGGGTAATACCTGATGGGCTAATCTTGCATCTGCCCACAGTCCTTGGGTTTTCATAAGGTGGCTGGACCCAAGGACCATTTAGTGTAAATGTTGGGCCCATTAAGAGCCCATGGTGATGGACTCAGGGGATCACTGTCTCCTACAGTGAATTCGGCTAGGCCTTGTAACAAAGGTTGGGCTGAACCCATGTGGCTGATGTGTAGATCAATGTTTGGGTCCCACGCCATACAAGGATAGTCAACTGGGCAGCAGGTTAAAAAGGTTAAGTGAGCACATAGACTTAATGGGCCTAAAGCCCAATTCAAACTGACTTAATAAGATTAATTAAATAGGGGCAATTCTGGGATTTGGATCAGCTGATAGGATAAGGGATTATCCCTATCCACTCAAAGAGTCCAGATCCAAATAAAGATTTGGATTAGGAAACTCCTAATTTAATTAGGATGGCTGATCTTTATCTGCAGATAAGATAAGGGATTATCCTTATCTCTTAAAGAGAGTCCAGATCCAAATATAAGATTTGGATTAGGAAACTCCTAATAAGATTAGGAGAACCTCCCTTTAAGGCTATAAATAGGAGAGCAGGGCGGACCTCTAAAAACAACTCACAGTCTGCTGAATTAGGAGAGAAGACAACACACAGTTTGACTGCTCCTGTCTTCTGCTCTTTCCTTCCTGTTCTTGCTGCCCCTACCCAGTTCGATCTCTACCTGTGGGAGTGATCAAGAATCGTTCTTGATATTGCTTCTTGCTAGAAGAGGCAATCTGAAGTCGTGCTCACCAGCCCTTTACTATATTCTTGTTGAAGAATTCGGTTCTTGCTGAAGAGTCGTCTTGGTGATTCTGCTTCACATCACACCGTGTCATCTTCGGTGGAAGCAGCATTGGTCTTCTCCTTGGGCGTGAACACCTTCATTGGGAGTTAATGTTACTCCGTATCAGGTATATCCCTCTCCTCCCTTTTGGTTTCAGATCTGGCCGGGTTTGGTTTTAAGATTGATCATTGAAAATGCAGTTTTCTAAAATAGGGAATGCGATTCCCACATGGGAGAGAGAAATTTTTGAAATTTCGCCCAACCTTCCTGCAGGGTTTGGCCATCCATATGATGGATCTCTCATCCCTTCACCCAAAACACCATTCACACCACCAGTTTAACTATAACCAGCTCCAAGGAGCCACTAAGAATCCCAAAACACTGCCCAATGACAAGACCCAAGAAAGCACCTAAACAACATGCCCCACAACCCTCAAACAAGAATCAGAGCAAAATCAAACATTGAAAGACACAAAAAAGAAGTCCAAGCTACAGCAGAAAAGGACCATGGTTCTGGGATTGGGCTTCTTTTTCCAGCTTCAACTCTGGTCTGTTCCCAAACAAAGAGAAGAAATGAACTGGACTGTCGTATTGTAATAATCTACTTCCCTTTTCCTTTTACCCAATAAGGACCCTTTGGATCTAAAACAATCTATATTGAACATTTGTCGTGACCTCCTTTCGGGTTTCAATCTTCTATTACTTTATTTTAATCATAACATCAATCAGATAAAAGAACCTCAACCATCAGAGAGATAGAAGAGGACAGCATAAACAACAGTAGCATGGAACATAAACACAGCACTAGTTAACCAAGCCCATACTTAAAAAAAAAAAAAAAAACACACATACATGTTCACATGGTCTTCAAAACTTTTAAGAATAAGTGCATGATCATATGAGACATCTTTGAACAACCGCAACAGAAAGGTGTTTCATACCTCTAGAAGTAGGTCTAGAACACGCTTGATCTGAGCACCAACAGGGGCCTTTCTTATGCTGTTGATGTGCTGAAGCCTCTCCGTATCATTAGAGAATTTTACTGGAGCAGAAGGAGTTCTTGAAGGAGTGCTTGCAGGTGTAACTTTTTGAGTGGGCTTTGATGCCCCTGCCCTTGGTGTGTTGGTGAGTGTAGACTGGCACTTCTCTTGCTGCTGCTTGAACTTTGCAAGACTTGCTTGAAGCGACATTGGAGATATAATATTGATTTACTTAATACTGAAAACCTAAGTACATGGAAAATTACATCAGAAGAATCCAAGGTATTCTAACTCTGACATTTCAAAAACTAATGCCCTTTTCCTATCTTTTGAACAGCTTCAGAAACTAATCTTTATCACCAAATATGCTATCAACTAACTTGATTGACTTTGCAACAAAAAATAGTCATCCTAAACCTTCTATTGTCCTTAGCTTTTCCAATGCCTCAGATAAGCAACGGTACTCAAAAAATGACCTCAAATTTATCCAACTAGGTATTTAGGTAATATTTACCTTGAAAATCCAGATAATGAATTTTCTTGCATTTCAATACCCATAAGCTGAAAACTTTGTTGACTTAATCTTTAATAAACTAAAGTGGTAAAGACATATAGCTAGTTTTCAATTGTTTGACATCCATAACTAAAATGATAAATAACTGAAGTATCAAGGTATACCCAATACCCTCTACACTTAGAAGACATACCCTAGTTAATGAATCCCCCTAAACAAACCAAAAAGAAAGAAAAAGTTCAAAAGCTAGGACTGGCTTGTTGAACTAGGAACATGACCCACTGTTTTCATCTAAATTCTGAGACTGATGCAGCCTGGTCCAAAACCATATACGCTGTGAATGGGTAGAAAGAAGATGGAGCAGAAAATAAACTTTGACCAAAGAAAAGAAATTACAAAATCAAATAGAGAGACAGTGGCATCACTGACATGTAAACCTTATCCACCCAATAAGGACAAGGTAATCAAAGAATCTTTTGAGCAAGAAGAAGGGAATTGGGGGAAATTAACTTTTAAGGAAAATGTTTTTCTCCAGTATCATTAGTTCAAAGTAGATTTCTATCATTTCTAATTTTATGGGTGATGCAGTAAGGCTGGAACAAAACTATCACAAGACAGGGAGAGAGGAAGAGAGGGAGGGAGAGAGAGAATGTATATGTGTGTGTGTGTGTGTGTGAGAGAGAGAGAGAGAGAGAGAGGGGAAAGGGTAGAAAAAGAGAAAAGAGAAAGAAATCCCAAGGAATCACTCCAAGGGGTCCTAGAATCACTCTAGGGTTTGTAGGAATAACTCCATACAGCAAACTTGAAAGAGAGCTCTAAGAAATCTTCATTCATTAACTTCAAAAGGAAGAGAATACATCTATTTATATAGAGTGACTTGTGGCCCGGAATACCGTTCACCATAATTACAAAAATGCCACTCCTTGTCTTGTGCATCAAGAAACACAATAGCTTTTTATCTACTAATGCAAATAAACTGAAAATTGAAAGATAGGCTCTACTAAACTAGAGGAACAAGATGTTATAGCCCAGGCCCACATAGGACTAGCTAAAATGACGAAAATACCCCAGACCAGCTCAGTCCAAGTCCCAAGAGTCTTCCCCATGCCAAATCAGAACCTGTTTGTTGCCCTTCTTCTTGCGAGAATAGGTCTTATAATGCTTGGACCGATCCCCATAATGGGCTTCTTCAAATTACGGAGATACAAATAGGCAACAAGCCATATGTGTCAATACATAAAAGCAAAAAGTTAAAAAAAAAAAAAGATAAACTGTGCTTTATTACCATTCTTGTTTACTTTTTAAAAACATTATTTAAGATTTAACCCATGCAACAAAGGAACTGTGTGTATGTGAGAGAGAGAATTTTGAACAAGAGTCAAAATGCATCCTTCTGCCAAGACCAAGTTCAGAACTAATCCTGCAGTAGATAATTTTGACAGGAAGATCAGATAAAATGTGATTTTGAAAGAATAGAGAACTTCCAGTTTACAATTGCATACTGATGATGGAAATAAGGGATCACTGCTTGGTGCAATGGTAAAATCTCTGACTAACAACCATGAGAATGTAGTTTTGAGTCTGAGAGCAGCCACTTTATGGTAAAAATGCCATAGGTTAATTCTGTATCTAGTCCACACCTCCCAAGATTCTTGATAAGCCAGGACCAGCATCAGGAAATGGCCTCTATATTGATAGATCAGCGGTATTAAAAATACTCCTATCAAACCATATGATACATCATACAAATTAACATATTCATAATCCATAAAACAATTAGCAAATATCATTTTTTTTTGAAGCACAGATAACATGTATCATAAAATGGATAACATTCTCCTTAATATACTTTTGATAGCCATCCCATATCACACTCATGCATCTCTTCCTGAAGCTAATAAAGAAATACAAGCCACTTTCTGGCTATGGGCTTTTAAGAAAAAAGAATACCAATTAAGATCTATTCTGAAAGACTAGCAGTGTTAAGAGAACCAAGCCACAGCCTTGATCCCAAATACTTTTCCATACTGTCCATCTGCTTCATTCTAAACATTGGTAAGATGAACTTCCTTTTTCTTCTGTGAACACTACTAACCAGAATCGAACTTTTTTGTGGATTGATCTTTTCTTCTGACATCCTTTCAAATCTTTGCAATATTAGTTAAAGTTCTTTCTACTTACTCACTTCATCCTTGTAGAAAAGAAAGCAGTCATCTGCAAAAAGCAGGTGAGTGATGGGAGGGTGTCTTTAGCTAACTTTATACCTTTGATGAGTCCTCTCTGTTCGGCAGCTTCCAACATGCTGGACAATGCTTCCATTGGTCTCAGGCAAGACCCAATGAAATTTAAACAATTTTGGCAACACACCATTAAGTTTAATAGAGAAAGATGGGGTGGATATGCATTGTTTGATTAATATGCACCATTGTTGTGGGCATCCCATCCCCTCTAATATCAGCAACACAAACCCCCTCTTGACTCTAGCATATGCACTGGACATGTACAGTTTAATAGCCATCCATCTCACCCCCATTTTTCCTTTGTCATTTTATTTACCAATTCATGGGATAGTATAATGTTGTCCATAACATTTCTGCCCTTGATAAATGCTGATTAGTTTCTCATATTAACTTCTGTAGCTTGTTTTTTTATTTCTCCACTAGGCATTTTGCAATTATTTATAAAGCACATTGCGACAGCTGATGGGTCTAAACTGTGTCACATTTCAGCATTCTTCTTTTTGGGAATACATACTAAGTTTTGCAGTTTAAATTCTGTAGGAACTTCCCAGTGCTGAAGAAGTGAAGATTAAATCATAAACCTCCCCTCCTATTATATGCCAAAATTTCTGAAAGAAATAGAGAGTGAACTTGTTTTTCATGCTCTCAACTATCTCCCACACCTCCTCCATAGCTGGTAGAGTAAGAACATCTTGTTTTTCATCCTCACTCAGCTGAAGTAAATGTAAATCAGAAATATCAAGTTCTGAATTGTGAGACAATTGTCCCCCTATTTGCAGTGCCAACTCTTTAAAAGCATCTGACACTTCCTCAATTTTCAATTGTTTACCTCTCAAATCCTTTACTCCCTCTGGATGATGGTTCATTCTTCTTCTATAGTTTGAAATCTGATGAAAATATTTTGTGTTTCTATCACCCTCCCTCAGCCACAGTTCTCGGGACTTTAATTTCCACAATTTTTCTTCCATTTGTAGCCACTGATTATATTCCCACTGCAAATTTTTGAACTCCTTAGGTCCATGAACATTTGTATATGCTAATTCTAGTGTTTCCATTCTCTTTTCTAAATCTTTTAATCTTTGAGTGACGTACCTAAAGGATTGTTTATTCCAAATCTTCAACCTTTTTTGCAGTTCCTCAGCTTCATGATAATTCTTTTTGTGACGTCCCCACCTGTGTTCTTTTCCCACTCTTCTCTTATAATCTGCTCACAGTCCAGACTTTCTGTTCACATGGGCTGAAAATGGAAGTGAGTTGGCCCTCTTAATTTTTTGGGTTCAGTATCCATGATCATCATGGAGTGATCGGAATGGATAGAGAATTTATTTAGGACATTTGCCTCTGGGTATAACTGTAACCAGTTGCCTGATAATAAACACTTATCTAGCCTCTCTTTCACCATTCACCTTTCCCTTCCCATGTTGTTTATTAGACCATGTATAATAAAGACCTCTACTATCCAACTCCACCAAGTTGAATTTATCCACTAATTTTCTTAGGTTTTGAGAAGGTCGATGTCCATGAGTTCGGCTCCCATCATAACCATGATGACATAGGGTATCATTTAGATCCCCACAGAGAACCCACTTAGCATCTTGTAAATATTCCAAGTCCATAAGAGAAGGCCAGAGTTCTTTCCTTTTGGAATTCATTGGATGCCCATAGATTAAAGATAGAAACCACGGCTCTCTCTGTGATGAATTTCCTATCTGACACATGATTAATCTTTCATTTTTTACCACGATCTGTAGGGGGAAGTCCTGTTTCCAACAACATATTAGGCCTCCAGACTTCCCTCTAGCAGGATAACACGTATAATATTTGATAATTTAGTTTCTTAGCCAGTATCCCACTGTTTGCTTCATTCAATTTGGTCTCAGAGAAGAAACAGTAAGTCAGGGCTGTGTGTTTGGGACACCCGTTTCAGGTATCGTACTGTCGCGGGGTTATTACAACTGTGAACATTAGACTTATTTGTTCGAGTGGCTACCTAGTACCTTGAGATCTGCTGGAGAGAAAACCAACGGCTTGAATTGCTAGATTCGCTTCCCTCAGCGCCAGTGGTGGAAGGGAAAAATCGAATATAACCAGGCCAAAACCAGTGATGTGGGATTACCGCTAGAAGAAAACCCTCTTCAGATTAAGAAGAAAAGCCTTGCACCGATGAAATTTAGAGAATTGCCGCCAGAAGAAAACCCTTGCTCCAATTAATATAACAGGCTTGCCGCCGGAAATTGCATTTTTTTTCTCTGTATTGCAAGGGATGTAGTTGCAATTCTCCTCGTCTAGTTTAACTGAGTTTGTCATAAAGATTTTAGCAAAATCGACGACATATACAATTGAGAGCTCGGCAGAATCATCATTAGAGGCTAAATGCATATTTTACAAACGGATCATAAACATATAAAGCCGTATCCACCAAACAATTAAATAAAATAGAAATCATGCAGTGAACGAAATAAAATCCGAAATACCAAACAATTAACAACCACTAATATAAATGAAACAATTGACTTATCGAGTTCGGACAAGGAAATCGGAAAGCTAAGAACAAGGAAAATGAAACGGGAAGAAGAAATTAGGAATGGGTGGGAAGAAACCTAACCTTGCTATCTCTTTCTGACAACCAAATGACAGAGATTGCTACAAACGTTCCGCTGTGATTTTTATCTTTTTCATTTCTTAACTTCTATTTTTCGATCAACCAAGAGGGCAGGAGAATAAGAGAGGAGATGGATAAAAAAAATGACAGAGAGAGAGAGGAACAATTTGTAGAGAATCGGAGTCTGACGCGGCAGACGCGCTAATCGGCAAAGTTCATGAACAGCAGCAAACCGTATCGATTATCTGAATTCGAATTCGATCCTATTATCCGTTTGTAATTGGATCAAATATCTCTATCCGATCCGATATAATCGAATTTCATTGAATTTAAATATAAGGAAATTTTCTAAAACTCAACTTTTCAACATTTCTCTTAAATTCATTTCAACTTTTTAAAATATCTAAAATTCATCATATCAATAAGTTTTTATTTTCTAAAATTAACATTTTGTCACTGCATCGTTAATGCTTCTTAACAGAGGTGTCCATACCAGTTTAAATAATAATTTTCATGACCAAATTACTCTTGAATGGTGGGTTAGAGGAAAAATGGTCTTTTTCAGTTTTCAGTTTTCAATTTTTTTTTTTTTTGCATTTTCAATATTTTGTTATAATTTTCAATGTTTTTTATAATTTCTGTTTTCTTACATTTTTTCTATTTTCTACAATCTATAAATTTTTGGTGTTTTTTCTATAATTTTTATTTTCTGATTTTGTTTTTCAATATCTATAGTTTCTATAATTTGAAAATAATTTTTATTTTGTTTGCAATTTCTATAATTTTTTATATTTTTTATAATTTCTATGTTTTTATGTATTTTATATTTGAAAATATTTTTTTGAACTTTTCTTTTTTCATGTCTAAATATTAAAATGGTAATATATTAGCACCCATTAATTTATCTTGTATATATTTTATATTTTTCTATGAAGGTTAAAATGGTATTATATTGTGGTGAGTTTAAGAGATGCTGAAAACTCATGGTGAGTTTTAGACAATTTTCCTTAAATATATATGCTCATATATACTAAATTATCATAAGTTGGTCTGAATGTTAGTATTTTCTCTAAATTATTGTATGTAAGTTCAATTCGTTTATTAATAATACATAATTATTTGATCATTGTGTCTAATTTATTTATATTATTTAATGTCCAATTATAATCCAAGTTCAATTTAAATGAACCAAATTTGGATCTACCAATATCCGGTTCGATCCAATCCATTTACAATCCTAAACAATAATCCACAGGCCTATTGATGAATTGGATCTGGATTGCCCTATAGTATTGGACTATCATGCTCTGAAAACTTGTAACCAATAACTGGTGTCATAACAAATTAAGTGATATTTATCAAAATTTACTAGGGGTTTTGATTGGTTATTGCTCTTTGGTAGCATGTCTTTCTAGCAACCTAGATTTTGTTAAGGTTTTAAAAACCTACCTAGATACGGAACCACTTTAACCACTATTTTTTTAGGTCAGTGGTTCAATCATCCAAATCAAATTGCTGATTAGGTCAGCAATTTGTTAATTGAGTTAGTTTTTTTTTTGGGAAAAATCTGAGTTAGGTGGAAAGTAGAACCATTTAGGTGATTAATTTTTGGGTCAAATAGTTCAACTGCATGGGCCGATGGCTTAGATTTTCCCTTGGAAGACCATAACTGATCTGGATATGATCATGGGTCCCTGGTAAGGATGATCATTTCCAGCATGCCCATTTAGTCTTGAAGCTAAAGTTTGTTTTTTAGCTTAGGCTGAATACTTTGAATCCAAATCTAATAGGCACAGCATTGTAAGCACTTCTATGAGCACTTAATCAATATTCTGACAAGTGACAACCATATCAAAAGTTGTTTTTAATTTGTTTTTTAGGTTGTATTTGGAATCGATGTAAAAACATCATTGGTGTAAAAGTACATTAATGACGTTTTACATCGAACTATTAATAAAGTAACCATTTGAATTTTGAAAATTGTGCTGAGAAAAGTGGAGTTTTACATCAATTTTATTGATGTAATATTTACATCGATAATCAATGAAAAACTCTACTTTAATGAACACTTACATCGATTTAGGATGTAAAACTCCATTCCATCCAAACGCACATAAAACTAAACCGGAGTGGAGTTTTATGTCGATCATGATTATACATTCTTTCAAAACGTCAATAAAATCAAACCGGCGTAAATATTTACACCGGTGACGTTTTACATTGATTCCAAACACAGCCTTAAGGGTAGGCTGGAGGTATTTTAAGGGACAAATGACCCAAAAAAAAATATTCTAAATGCTTACTCAATGTGCTCACCATGTACACCTACCTGATCCGGTCTGGAATACTTTAGCGGAGCCTAAAAATGAAGAATCCCATACATCTATAGCCAAATATAAGATAAGAATTTACTACAATTGATGTAGTTGAGACAAGGGGAGGAGAAGCTCCATATGATGGCTAAGGGAGGCAAATATGGATGGAAGGTGGCTCCAAAATCATCACCACCAGGCACCAGCTTCACGAAAAGGACTACATTGTTGTGGAACATCATCAACTTTAGTGATTAACTGTCCCATGTAGAAAGAAAGGCAAGCTTATAGATCAATTATACTCATGTGTATATGGAACTCCATTAGGTTATTCATGGTTTATCAAGTTAGGGTCACAAAATTGCATATAACTCATTGAAAGAAGTTTTGATATTTCTTGGGTAAAATGCTTTCTTCCAAGTCCAATCCCCTTGGACTCCTGGCTTGACCCATCCCATGATTATCCTTAGAGATGCAAATGGTATCCATTTAATTTTAGTTCATTTAATTAATAATATACAATATTTTGATCATTTCCGGTTTAATTTATTAACACTATACAATATTTAATTTCACTCATTCGAATTGGATATAAATCCAATGAAAAAGATTTCAAATAAAAAGTAAATTATAAGCATTTTTTGTCATAAGAAAATGTGAAGACAGATAGTTTTGAAAAAAAAAACATAAATAAGGTTAAAATGCATAGGAGTGCAAATGAAAAGAAGGCAAATTCTAGTTTAATTTTGTTTTTGGGTTTTACTTTATTTTGTTTCAAGTCTTGCTTTACTTCATTTGTGCTGCAAGTAAATAAAATAAGGTAAAATTTAAAATAAAAATAAATCATAATTTGCATCAAAATCATTTTGGACTATCGCGGTTTTGCATTAGTACAAACAAATTTGCTACCAAACACAAATCTTTAGATTGATTTCTTCAATCAAGCGGCGAACCAAATCATGGTTGTGAAAGCATCCCTTTAAAACAACCAACAGATTCGTTTATTGACTGAAACAAGTGAGAAATGAAATTTAAAAGGCACTTGGGCTGTTAAAGATAATTTTGCAATATAAATAGTTAGAAAGGTTGATTGATCGCTCAGGACTAGTTTGGTCATGCAACTTTGTTGATGGTTGCTAATATATACTGATCTTATGGAAGGGTTATTTTATACAATAAAAGTCTCTAACATGTGGTTTATGGAAGTTTAAAAAAGGGTGATGTTTAAGAAAATTGAAAGAAGTGAAGGAAAATTTTAGATAATAATCCAAATTCAAACAACTGAAAACATTCTCAGAAGAGGATCAAATCTGGTTTCGTTTTCTCATGACACACTTTTTCGGATTTTCAACACATGCCCTGAACAAACGTTTTCAGAAAAACAAAGCAGATTTGAAACTTAGCACTAACTTATCACCTTTTTTCTAGAAAACGGAATCGGTTTCAAACACCTAGGTTGGTGATGGTCCAGTGGAAGCATATCAATGCTCATTGTATCATCACTCCCGACCCTCAACAAGAGCTCCGGTTCAGTCCTCACACGTGATCACATCATTCTTATGGTTAAATATCTCCCCATGAATAAAAATATATAAGTTTAGAGATATTTTTAATACACGATTGTAAACCGTGCATCGTGCATGAGCCAACAGGCCTAACATGAGAAGACAGGAGTTGCTCCTCACAGAGAGCCCCCCATGCCCACCCCACAATCCATTTCCTCCGTGCATTAGGAACATCTCTCCATGTTAAGAACGGGAAATGTTTTCAATGCACGGGAGGGATGGGCGGACATGCTCAGTGGAAAGCCCATCCAATCTCTAGACTGACACCCCATATGCACATTTCAACATGTATTGGGAATATCTCTATATTTGTTATGGGAGATGTTAGCACACGATTTGAGATATAGTGTGGAACAATTATGCCACTTCGAGTGTTGATGCTTGCACCATTCAAACAACCCCTTACAACCTTGCATTGAGAAATTCAGCTTCGGTCAGGGCAAAACCTGTTCAAATAGTATTTACAACTTTGCATTCAGAATATTTCCGCTTTATTTCATGCAAGATAGCACGAGCTTGCCGGGACGGAAGCCGATATTTGCATTGTGTATCTCCCACGAAATAAATCACACAAGAACAGAGATATTCCCGGCTGTGACTGTTGGAACGGGCTTTTGCCCTGACCGAAGCCGAACTCTGGGAATGGTGATTAATCACGTCAAATCACGTATCATAAATCCCAAAGATGGGCCCGACCAATTGAATTCTGCATTCTGCACGATATGATCAAAACTCGAAAGGATCATGAAATCATGATCAAAAGAATTTTACTAACGTGCGCCGCGGGAGTACAGGCCAAATGAGTTGCAGATCTAAACGTAAGAGAGTCGGAAGGACTGGGGTAATTTGTTCGATGGGGATGGGGATAACCTTATCCTCCAAACGAGGTTGCAGGAGCGGCCACGTCGGAGTAGGGAAAGCTGGGATCTCAAATTTCAACCTCTCGTCAGATCCCTCCCACGATCTCCATCTATCTAAGCTTCTCTCCCCTCCTCTCAAAACACTCGGAAGAACAACATTACTGCATCTTCGGCAAACACCCTGAGAATTCAATTCGCAACCTCCTTTTCTTCGTTGTCTTATCTTCTGAGTAAGAGCAGGAGAGATGGCATCCACCTCCGCTGTTTCAATGGCGACGCCATTAACTTCTGCAAGCCACAAGAGGCTACCTCCGAGCTCTGATGCCTTCTTCAAGCCCTTGCCCTTGAGGTCTTCCAAGGCAATAGAAGCGACCTCGTCAAGAGCCAACGCAAAGCTCCAAGTTCGATCATCACTCAAGGAGAAGGCCGTCACCGGATTGACAGCAGCTGCCCTGACCGCTTCCATGGTTATCCCTGAGGTGGCTGAGGCGGCCGGCCCGGGAATTTCCCCCTCTCTCAAGAATTTCTTGCTTAGCATTGTTGCCGGTGGAGTCGTGCTAGGTGTAATCGTTGGTGCTGTCATCGGCGTCGCCAACTTCGACCCTGTCAAACGGAGCTAAATATATACATTAGGAAGACAGAGCGAGAATCTAAATTGCTGTTTCTTTTTTCTTCTTGTTCTATGATGTATCGTAATCTCTGTATCTTTATGTTTTATTCATGTTGGTACAATTTGTAATTTCTCAGATCTATTTTCGTCGTTTTTATGAATTTTTGGTCGTTTGAAGGTATGATTTCCACAAAACAGAGGGTGGGTGTAGGGGGGAAGGGAGAGAGAGAGAGATAGAGCGCTTTAATTTATCCATCCTTAGCTCAAGGAAGAAGATCAATAGAGAATTAATGCTTGCTTATAAGAGGGAAAGCTTCAATGTTCACGCCTCCGTAGTCATTCCAGAACCCAAAAGTATTTTTGCGTGGGGAAGGAAAAATAGGAATTCATTTCCACTACTTGCACGCAATCCTAATAACAGAGCTGCAAATATAAGTTGCCAACAAATCTTTGTTCTGTAAACGATTCCCATGGCCAAACGGAGTAAAAGCTATCAGTTCTCTCCGAAACCGATTGCTCTCACAGTTCAGCCGTTGTCAGAAATAGGATATTTTCTATGCCATCAACTTATATTACTATTCCATTATGAATAGACTTGGTTGGCTCCTAACCATTGGAGTTTTCCAGTACAGTGAGTCTATTTGCAGTAAAACTAAGGGGAACACGAACCATCCGGATATGGAAAGTCTATTTGCAGTAAACCTTCACATTCCAATCTACTTCTTGTGCAAGGTCTTCCAGACATTTTCTATTCGAATGTTAGGACTTGAGCAAAAACTGGATACAATTTCAAACCCCCAAGAGGGGAAAGAATTTATTTGGGATTAGCAGAAGCAAACTCAATACAATAGCTTCCACAACTATATACCCTGCAAATTCCAAATTCAATACAATAGCTTCCCGCAGTTACATATCGTGTAACTTCTCTGCCATAAGCCAAAAGGGAGGAATGAAGCCATTGAATATCAAATTGATCAGCTCATCCCTTTTGAAGTGTTCAAAACCAGTTTGCAACTTGGCTTTCGCCTGTAATCAAGAGACAATCGAAATTGTTTTCATCTAAATATAGCATTGTCAATCTTTAGCATGTGATCCTTGAAATCAAATCAAGTAGGAATCTACTCTCTGCAGAGTAGTTCAATTTCTCTGCCTTAACGACAGTGATCTTCACCCTTTGCTCTTCACCATACATTTCTTCTTTGATTTTGAGCCTGAAAAGATACTCACTGAATAGGCTACGGCGGATAACCTCCCCAAACCTAACATCGTCTTGCTCTTCATATTTCAATAAGTACAGCTCCTTTGCTGAACAACCCAAGATCTCCTCTCCTGATTCCTGGAATGCTGTCACCCAGGTCAACCCTGTATGGTCTTGCACTTGAGCTTGAAGAAGATACCTGTAATCACACTCCTCAAACTCTTGAGTGCATCTATCACACTGCCATCTTGCATTTCCTGATCTTGTTACTTTTTTACTACACTGTCTGTCCCCAATCATCAACGGGCAAGCTGTGTAACAGAAATTATCTGTCTTGATGAATGATACAGTTGCTTTCACCGTGACCCAATCTGGCTTATCAGCTCGTCCAAGACCTTCATCTTTTATCTGAGATACTGTTTTACGGACCTCATTCCTTGGACACCCTGGCATAATATCTCTAGAGATGGACTGAGAAGCAGTATTCTTGCCCCCTCTGTCAAACCAGTCTCTCAGACCATAGGCTTCAGGGCAATCTGGATTTATGAAGAGCTGGGTGGCAGATATTGTTCCTATTGATTTACCACTGAAGTTATTCACCTTTGCAGCCTTAACGGCTAAAACTGGGAAAACCCCAGATTCAACCATCTGTTGCAGCTCTCGACCTTGTTTATTGCACAACTCCCCCCAGAGGGTTAGCTCAACACTGCGGTTGGATCCATCCTTAAGATTCAGAATTCTTCTCTGGGTTTCCATACCATTCTTTCTCAGGATAGGGACTGAAGGATTGACAGATTCTACAATACCAATTACATCTATTATAGAATTGTTTTCTGAACTCTCAATCTCATTGATGGGTTTGAAAGAGAACTGTTGCTTTGGTATTGAGCCATCTTCATCTGGGCAAAGTTCGACTGTTGAGCTTGACTCTAGAAATATCTCCCATTCATTCTTAAGATGGTTGAAGTTCTTTTGAGCAGGTTTTAAGTTTCCCTTGGATATCAAATAGACCTTACCAACTTCAATAGCATCATAGAAGCGATCAACAACAGCATTGAAGCACGTAACCCTTATTTCTCCTCCATCCGAGTCAAGGAGGTCAAAGGAGAAGACTTTCCCATCTCCCTTAGCATTATTGTAGCGACGGAGATCTCCCTTAGCGGTAACTCTGGCCTTGATTGCCCATCGTCCCTGATAAGGATTCAGAGCAGAAATTGGAATGATTCGTGCAGGTGCATCATTCTTTGCAATAGGGCCATGATTTTTATAATTTGGAGGAGGTCGGTATGGAGGTTGGACAGTTGGACGAAAGCTCGGCATCTTATTGCCAGGTTTTGGAGCTGAGTTACTACAGGAAGTTGTTGCGAGATGCCTGTTATCAGGAATTGCTGGTTGCTCAGGCTTGTTAGCGGACGAAGATTTCTGAGATGTCGAGTCAGATTGCATCAACAGTTTCGGGTTCCCAATTATCTCACAATCTGGGATTATAGTCTCCATGTTCAGTACCACGATAATCCTGTATGAAATCCTTCCTGATTAAAACTGGAAGACAGAAAAACGAATCATAGAAAACGAGATGACCAAAAACAGTTTTCCTAATATCAAAGCTAAAATATGAGACATGTTTCAGTGCCTTTCTGATCCATCCCTAGTCAATTCAAACAATCTCAAAACGACTCGAGAGGAAAAATCACGGTTTTCCGTCACGGTTTGAAAAAAAATAACGGAGATAAATATAATTAAGCAATGAAATCGAATGCATACTTGCGATTCTGAACAGTGCTGCAGATGTAATCGATCAGCTGAACAATGGATCCTTTCTGTACTCTCCCGCTCTTCACCCGATCGTTCAGCTGAGTCGCCAGCATTGCGTGCTGAGTGGAAACGGAATCAGAGAGTAGAAGACGATACCGATCCTGCGAATTGCCTATGAGCTTGATTTCCAAGACTTGTACAAGAGGCTTTGAGTTCGCATCGCCACTATTGATGGCTGCAATTGCGTTGGGCGTGAGATACACAGGCATTTCCTCAGATTTTCGAAAACTTTGGAATCCAAAGATTTGTAGTGGAATCGAATTCAGACAACCTTAAAACCTAGAAAATGAATCTCCAGAATTTGAATTACTAAAATACGCAGGCATTTTCTCAGATTTTCGAAAACTTTGGAATCCAGATCTGCAGTGGAATCGAATCCAGACAACCTTAAAAACCTAGAAAATGAATCTTAAGAAGTTCCAGAATTTGAATTACTAAAATCTAGGGCTCGAAAGTCCACAAATTCAAAATGAACTAAAAAACTCGAGGATTACGGTCTTAAGATGAACAAAATTTCCTGCCAAAAAATAGCAGAAAACGTAATATAAAGAAATTTGATAAAAAGAAAAACCTAGGTTTCTGAGTGAAAGATCGAGAAAAACTATCAAAACGCAACGAAAAGAGCCGACAGAAGAGTTGCGGGGACACTTCCCTTTCTGAAACAAAGGTAGAGAGATGAGGAATTGAATAGCGCTAAGTTATTGTTGAAAAAACAGGAAGAATTTTAAATGAATGCTGAAGAATTCTCGGCCGAATGGATCTGTAGCTAGGGTTTTAAGAGTTTTTATTTATGGCGGGGAAAGGAGGAGAAAAACCGACTCGAAGGCTAAACCTGAAAGGAGTTGGTCAGAGCCTCTATAAAAACCCCTTGTTTACAGAACTTGGAAGAAAGTCATCCTCTGGGGAAAAAAGTAGGTCCAAGTGTCCCACAACTCTTGGTGCGTAGACTGAAACCTTCAAGAATACAAACCGTTGGATTGAAATCTTTTACTCAGGGTCACGGATTACGGATATAGTCATAAATGCCATGAAGCCAACTAACCGTAATATGGGTTGGATTGGACGATGGATGATTCGCTTAGTAGGTGTTTGGCGAGTTCACATCTGTACTCCACTGTGGGGCGCCCCACAATGCCCCAACAGCACATCTCCACCTTGTATTAGGAATATCTCCCGATAACGAGTATTAAAGATGATGAGGCATCACTTGAGATGTTCCCAATACAAGGTGGGGACGTGCTGAGGCATTGTGGGGTGTAGATGCGAACTCGTGTTTGGCATAAGTGTTGGGAATATCCCACGTGCTTATTTTTTGTTTGGAATCGGTTCTGTTATATAGACTGTTTTTTGAGAAAATAGTTCTGGTTTTGTTTGATACCAGTATTGGTGGTAACCTTTTTAATATGATCTATATTATCCAATGTCCAAGATGATGCCATACATTGCTTTTAAAAAAACATTGAATTTGGTATTGCTCTAGACCACACTTTCTTGATTTCCAAGGTGTGGTTTAGAGCAATGTTTTTTTAGAAAAACGGTATCAAACAAGAGAGTGTTGTTTGAAGCGCTGCTTTCTCTAATGTAATGTCTATGCAGTGCCGTTTTCTCAGAAAATGACATCGATACTAAACACCCACTTAATGATTTGATACCATTGCTTCTATGTAAGTTGATTTTTCAAAAATTAGCTATGAATTTGTTTGATATTCAGTATTAGTATTAATTTTTTTATGGAAATTATTTCTCATATATCCATATCAAATGACACATCATTCATTCAAAAGAAAAATCAAAATAGGCCTAAACAGAGGAATCATCGAAGGTGGTGATTCTTCTTTTCATCCCAATTTTAATAATCAATTTTTGACCAATTTGTTAATTTTTTAAAAATAGATGAATCAAATAACAAAATAATAAGCGATTTTTCAATCTCTGATGTGGTGATGATTTCTGAAAAATTGATATTGGTCTCAAACACCACCTAAGTCTAATACGCTTAGGGCTGCAAAATATTGATATAGGTAGATTCAAATTTGATTTATTTATTTGAATTCAAAGCCATATTCATCTGACATTTAGGTGGATTTAAGAAATATTGGACTAGAATTGGACATTAAATGATATAAAATAAAAATGACCAAAATATTATATTATATTAGTAAAGTGATAAAAAATGACTTTAGTATTACAATTTAAGAACAAAATGAATTGAAAATTAGTTATATGAAACTTGAATCTATGATAATTTAGTGGAAATACAGCATTTAGGCCAATTTTATTGATAGATATAATATAAATATTAAGTATATATGAGCATACATATATAAATCAGATTGGGGGAATCCATATTAGATTTATAATTATTGAAAATATGGATCACCCTTAATAGAATTTGAATTTGGAATAGGATACCGTTTGCAGGCCTATAAAAAACCATGTTAAACCATTTGAAATTGTTGGAAATTAAAGCCTCATCATTTGTTATCTAAACCAGTGTTTTTAACATGTTGTTGACCTGACCGATTGGACCGTTTAAACCATCACTCAATCAAGATTCTAGAGCCAGTTCAGTCAAGACCCATCAGACGATCAAAACTGTTGATTTAGTCAAGAACTATTCAGTCAGAGGCCATAACTTTGCACTCGGATGTTCGATTTGTGTGATGTTTTTTTATTTTGGGTAACTTTTGAGATCTATGTGTCCCAATGGGCCGTAGGCGCCTTGCCCCGCTATTTTCGCAAAAAAAAATCATTTTTTTGCCACAAATTGTAATTTTTAATATTTTTATAAATAAAAATGAAAAAATGGGTTAAAATATAAATTAAATATAAAAATACATATAACAAATTAAATCTAAAATATATTTATACATTATTTATTATATATATATACACACACTTAATACATATATATGATGACGTGAAGCAGTCTGAACCATTCGACTTGGCCGGCCGAACCGGTGACCCACAACCTGGAGGCAAAAACGGTTCGGCCTCAACTCGTTTTTAAAACTATAAAGCATTGATATAAACTATAAAACTTCATTGCTATTATTTTTAACTTTGGGAAATGGGAATTTTAGTCCTACACCAACCACAAGGAGTTAACTAACAGATATATATTATAAAGAACAAAGTAGCCTAACAGCTCCTAAGAGTTTGTACATAAATTTGATTGGTTTCTATAGACTACTTCTCTAACTGTTGTCTAATTTTCTATCTGTCGGCCCCCTCTTTCTTCTATACAGATACGGGTGACTAACATGCCTTCCCATGTCCATAGATGAACCTTGCATCTTCTTCCGTGTAGATATGTGTTTCCTTCAGTAACCTGTAATGTTATATACACATAACCAAACCACCTGAATTAACTATCCCATTACATAAGAATCATTCAACTGACGGATGGTTTAAGTCTGCAAACTTACGATTGATAGACAGTCTTGTTCATGGTGGTTGAGGAGAGGAAGGTGGCTCCATTAATATACAGTAGTTCTCCTTTGATTCTTTCTTCGATTCTACTATCAATCTGTTTTGCTTCAAGGGTAAGTGGTTGATCGGATGCCTGGATATACACACATATAATGGGAATAATCAATCTACTCATTAATAAGTGGGCAATTTATTAGCTGAGTTGCTGCTTACCATAATCCATCCCCAAGTATCGACGAAAGATGGCACATGAGCTGTGTAAGGGAGCACATCTGGATACAGGAAAGTGAAATCAGAAAGCTAGGCACTAAGCCATCAGTTAATTTATGAATTTAATCAGGATGGGAAGACTTACACTTGAAGACATGTTTCAGTGTGTTATATATGGATGAAAAGACCTCCTTGTGGCTATGAAAGCCTGCTGGTCCGGCCTGTAGTTGCCCATAAGAAAGAGACAGGTTTATTTACATTAAATATACGAGGCACCAAAAGTGTATTAATATCAAACCAAAAAAAAGAAAGACTAATATCAACAGAAGAAAAAAAAGGGGAAAAAGAGAAAAAAAACAGAAGTTAGGAAACCTACTTGAGTGACAAAGATCCCATTGGCGTTAAGCTTGGGTTTGATTACATGCTCGTAGAAGGATTTAGTATAGAGTTTATAGCAAGGCCCTCCTTCAACTGGGTCTGCTAAGTCTCCCACTATCAGGTCAAATTTCTCATTCCTCGCCTCCAATTCGGCCCTTCAATCCATGTTTGTTTTATCCAATTAGTACGTTATTATTTATTTAGGTTCAGTTTGGAAAGAGTACAAATACAAATTTGTAGAGTGCAAAACTTTGTATTTTGTATTATTTTGTATGTATTTGCACTGTACATATTTGTATTTGTACTCCTTCCAAACTAAGTCTTAAGAAAAAACAACCAAGTGGACAGAGAGTAGAGAATATTGCACAACACAAGCAACTTGTGGGTATTGCATTCCAATTGGTTCCAAATAGGATTGTATTGCATGCCTTTATCAGCAATATTTAGATAATGGTTTTACCCTTTAGGCTCAGTCTGGAAAGAGTACAAATTCAAATTTGTAGAGTGCAAAACCTTGTATTTTGTATTATTTTGCATGTATTTATACAGTACATATTTAGAGCACAAATAAAAATATATACAATGCAAATACATACAAAATATAAGGTTTTACACTCTACACATTTGTATTTGTGCTCCTTCCAAACTGAGTCTAAGGTTTTACACTCTATACATTTGTATTTGTACTTCTTCCAAACTGAGCCTTTTAACTAATACAGGAAAAACAATGACTGCAATATGACTTCACTTCTTCAACTCTACGCTACCTGATGCCCAAGCCCGGTGCAGTAGTGTAAATTATATGAATTGGGCACCCGACTTGCACCCCTATCGTTGGGCCTAGGTATGTGATCTGATGAGCTTTTCCCAGTCAGACTTGGGACAAGCCTAACATTACGAGTTTTATCGGATGTCTCCGAAGAGACAATATGATCTCGGCCTATATCGGTTTGGACTATAAACGTCAAGGCCAAGACCCAAAGCCACGTTGGGCCAGGCCGAAGTCAGGCTAGGCCCAGCCATCACATATTTTCAGGTTTCAGACTGAGAGCAAGGCTAGGGCCCAAAACATCAAATTCAGACACCAACTCGAAAGTCTCTAAACGACCCACATCCACCATGAAACCTCTGAATGTGGAACCGCCTCGTGAGTTGTGACATTCAGCAATGCATCAAGTAGCTAGGAATATTCCCTATAAGACCTACCCCAAGTCCTGTCATGTAAATGAATCACGTGGCAAATCCAAACTGTCCACGTAGGGGACCCTATGAATGGGCCACACCACATCTGTTATACTTGAGATCACGCTACTACTACGTACACCTTGTTTTGGTGGTTTTGGCACAAAATATTACTTATTTTCTAATTCAAAATTAATTTGCCACGTGAAAATTACTTATTCCTGGAAACCCGTATAAGGTTAGTCTCCGTTAGTAGTAGTAATAGTTATTATTCTTATGATTAGATTTATACGACTCACTTAGCATCGTTGATTACAAGGTGAAGCTTCTCGTCGCGAAACGCCTCCTGATTTACCGTCAGATATCTACGGCAGAAATCGACGACCTCCTGCAACCATTCCACACATGCCATTGGGCTTTAAGTTTAACGAATACGACACAAAATGTAAATGTAATTAGTTTCCTTTTTCTTCTTTTAGGTAAGTTCCGAGAGTGCCCAAGGAATTGTCGTACTGTCGCTTCTTCAAAGTTTTTTGGAGCTGCAGAGTGCAGAGGGGAAAAGAAGGAAAAAAGAATGACAGTACAGGATGAAGATATGACTAAATTAAGTTGGAATGATAGCAGTGGGAATAGTAGAATGTCTGTGTCTCTGTGAGACTGTGAGAGACAGAGACAGAGACAGCGAGGGGAAACGGAAGTCCACTTCCACGAACACAGTACAGGGTCAGGGTCAGGGGGGCATGAAACGATGTACAGTAAAAAGTTAGGACAAAGGAGCCAGACCCACCATGAAATGTGTTCCACCAACAAACTGACCAACCAAATTTCTCTGTTAAAAGTTAAAGCAGTCGGATGATAATATCCATCCATACCGTCCAGAGTGAATGGACTAAAATCCGGTGGTTGAGATATAATCCATCCGATAATGTTAAATTTTAACTTGATGATGAGCATAAGACACATTAATATGATATGATTTGGTCGTCCAGAGTATATACCTGGTCTATGTCACACATGACAACTTTCTCTATAGTTTTGTGCTTGAGTACTTCTCTTGCAGTGGACCCCTCGCCACCTCCCATTATAAATACTGTTCTTGGGCTGAAATGATTAACCACATAAAATAAAGCATTGAACCTGTTAAAGAAAATAGTTAAAAATTATTCGTATAAAGAAAAGGGGTCTTTACTTTGGATGGTAGAGAAGAGCAGGGTGAATCAAGCATTCGTGATAAATAAATTCATCTCTTTCAGCACTCTGCATCTTCCCATCAATCACTAATACCTGTGTGTGACCAAAACCCAAGGAAAATCATAATGGGAGAGATGTTACTGAAACAGATATCTAGATTGAAAGAGAGAAGGAAAATATAGTTACCTTTCCGAAGTGTTTTGTGTCCAAAAGAGCTATTTCTTGGTACTCGCTTGTACCTCTATGCAACACTCTGTAAAAATTATTCTCACTATTATTATAAACATATAAAGAGTGCTAATTGATTCAGATGGAGTAAACTTAACCAAATTAATGTGTAAAGCTGTAAAGCTACTATTATCGATAGTTAAGAACTGTGTAACTTTCATGTTATAAAGGAGAGGGAAAGGAAATATACAGAATTTCAAAGTAAACTCATTTGAAACGAAATAATAGATATCCAGAGAAAAGAATAAAGCCGCGAAACTTCATTAGATTTCACAGAGTTTTCAATCACCCTAGAGATGGGAAAAAAAGAAAGGAAAAACCTCTTAAGTCTTGAATGGCCACCATATGTAAAATTCTGAAAAGAAAAAGAAAAAGAAATACGAATCACAATATTTTTTATACCTGTTCAAAGCATAAGACCACTTGAGATCATCGTCTAAGTCTTCTTCATACCAGCAGAGTTTCTTTTGATTGTCTTCGTAGACCTGGTCGCGATTATCGTAACCATTATTGCTAAAGACATTGGAATGGAGAAACCCAACAGCTTCACCCATGCTGAAAGCAGGGAAGAGAGGAAGGGAAAGGCAAAGAAAGTAAGAAAAGAAGCGAAGAGAGGCGGAGGAAGAAACGGAGGAGGTAGAGAGGTATGTGCAGGGGATGAGCGAGAAGTGAATGAGCGTTTTTATAGGAAAACCAAATGGTAAAAGGCATAAATAAAAGAAGGAAAAAACGGGAATGCACAAAGAAAGAAGAAACATCACGCACGCGTCAGTGGGTTTTGCATGAGCGCGAAAAATATAGTAATGCATAGTTGGGGCAAGCGTGATATGAAGGTGGGGTCCCGAGGTGGATTTTGCCACGTGGAATGAGGGCTACAGTCCACGTGGTAGTACGACATTGGGCAATGCAAGGATAAGGTTCTAGAATCTAGAGCCCACCGAGTGTGACAATTGATATGGAGGCCAAACTGGCAGTGGGGTCCACCAAATTTTGGAGAGTTTAGAGTCTGACAGTGCCAGATTGGATATGGTGAGGGAGACAGTTGCGAGGGGCCCACCACCGTCTGGGAGGCAACATGTTGGTGTTGGCTCGAGCGTGAGGAGACTCCACTAAGTACTTTTGTGGAGACTCCACTCCAGACAACACTATATATCTCGCTCCATCATGTCATCGTGTCCTTGCGTGCTTATGATGTTCTACAATTACATAAATACCCTTCTACTTGTTCACAATGACCTGTACAAACTTTTCACTGCTACAGGACTCACAACCTTCAGTCAGTGTAAATATAACCGAGTAGTGGCTAGTGAGTAGGCATTTCGGTTTTCAACCATTGAATCCGAATCCTCTAATTAACTGGGCCAACCCAATCAGCCTTACATGGGCCCCCACTCAAAGGGTGCACCATGAATGACCCAGTATATATAAAATAAAATATTGGAACTTGCATCGAAACTCGGAAGTTAAAATCTCAACCTCCATGAATGATGATGGAATGGAAAAGTCTGTATAAGGCCCATTACCGATCCATTGTATCTAGCAATCCAATAAGCAGCTAAATAGGTATTAAATCACAAATGAAGGTTAATTAGGGGAAATTGTACAAACTTCAGCATTTTGAAAGTAATAGAAACCGACATAATAGTGCTTGTTATTATTGTAGACAGCAAGGCATTTGCCTGTAATTATGTGGGCTTCTGAAGTGCAATTTTAATGTTTCAAATTCGGAAATAGCACAATCATTTCATGAAAGAAGGAATGAATATAGAGAAAGAAATTTGGCAGGCAGGAATAGGACAGTTGTTAAAAAAATTGTTTTCTTTCTCTGCCGACTCTGTGAGAGAAGGAGGGAATCAAAGTGGAAAGCAAAAGGAGAGAGAGAAAAATCTATTGTGATGGGTATAATATAGACATTTGGCAAACAACACTAGAACATGAATAAACAAGTTTGCTGAGCATCATTAATATAAGATGTTCCACCCATAATATGGAAATGGATATCACTCTGGTTTCATTGATCTACATTGCAGAAGACAAGCAGTATTTGTATTTCTCTAGGTTGTTTTCTTCTTTTTTTATTGGTAAAAAATAAAAAAGGTCCACTTAGATGTCACTAAATGATAAAATATTCCACCAACACACATATATATATATATATATATATAACTTGCATAGTTAAACTGTGCAATTGTGATATGGCATGCATGAAAATGGTGGTGTAAACTGGTCTTTGAGGGCCAAAAATTTTAGAATCCATTTTGCAGTCAGAATAGGAATTAGAATTGGAATGATTTATTTCAACAGTCTGTTTGGTTTAAAGGAATGAAAATAAAAATTGGAATCAGTTGAAATAGAATTTCAGGGAGAGGGAATGGTCCATTTTGATTCAGATTCCAGACCCCTATTCATATGAACCAAACGGGCCCTTAAGCCATGGAATGTAATTGCTACTGCTAATGCACAAATTCTGAAAAATACTCCCCCACATTGCAACACCCCCACTGATCACACCGGTTTAGCATGAAGACAGACCAATAGCTGGTCCCCTCACCCAACTAGGATGTGAAAAATTAATGTGGATGGGTCAGCATCTCTAGAGAAGGTAGGTGAGGGAGTCGTCATTAGAAATAGCAAAGGAGAATTTGTCTTGGATAGAGCTATTAGGTTGCCAGTGTTTTCTGCTGAAAAAGCTGAAGTTTTTGCCCTTTTCTATGCTCTTAAGTTTGCCTGTGAGTTGCCTTACGCACATCATTGTTGTGAGAGATTTTTTACTCGTACTAAACTTCTGTTGGCACCATGGGATATATCTCTTCACTAGTGGAAGATAGTAGAAGTTTGGTCTCTTCTTTTGCTGTGTGTAATTTCACTCATACTAGAAAATCATCAAACTATGTTGCTCATAGTATTGCAAAGTTCACTTGTTCAATTCAAAGCACCTACATCCGATCTTTAGAGCCATCTTTTATGCATGATTTGATTGTAAATGATGTTATTAACAAATGTTTTGACTTCTCAAAAATAAAACAGAAAGAAAGCAATTTTGTTCATTTCCAGTGCAAAAAGAGGGCAATTTTTGTAAGAAAAAAAGTGTGCATTTGGCCGCACTAAGAATATTTCTTTATATATATAAGAAAATGGAGGAAAAGGGTTTTTTTTAGAAAAAAAAATGATTAATGGGGTGTTCTGGTCAAGGTTCATTTTAAGGGCGGCTTACAATTATTTTCTGGTTTAACTGCTAAATAGATATTCCACCTTTCTTAATGCCTACCGAGTTAAAAACTTTATTAATCAAAAGAGAGAGAGAGAGAGAACTTTTTTGTGGACGTCAAAGATTTTTCTTTTCTCAACTTTTTTTTCCTTTCATTTTCATCAACAGTCTTAAAACCCAAAAAAAAAAATTCCAAGTTCAGAACTTTGAGCAGATAATGATGTTTATGCCCTCTTTGTTGTATCTGTTTATAAAACCCATAAAGGGGAAAAGGTTCCAAATTATACGCAAAGGCTATCATAAAATAAAAGGTAGCCAACATCCAATAAATTTTCAACAATGAAATAGAAGAGTAAACACGCTTAACAAAGAAATATAGATAGTTGATTAGAGAGTGCTGATATTTGGTTACTGAAGTGAAGGATCTGTTTGGCATTGCATTCATGGCGGTCTTTAGTTATTTGTTTGGATTAGGGAAAAAAGAAACAATGGATTGTGGGTCATGTCACATGTGTTGTCTTTTTTAAGGGTTCATCGGGTCACGGCTTTTGGAATGTGGGTTGGTGCTTGAAGTTGGAAGGAAGGCCTCTCCCCACTCCAACTCCTCCCAGTCCCACACACACGAACGAACAGAACAGTCTCTCTCACTTTGTTTCACAAATGTATCAAGACGTGTCGGCTATGGAACGACACGCCGCCGTACAGCAATTGCTCCACGTATTCGCAAGTGTCTCAGAGCGTGGGGATGGATGTTGATGATCCACAAATGACATCGCTTCGGCGTGATAATGTCGGTAAATATCACTTAGAAAAGATGCAGTCACGATTCACGCGCGCGCGCGCGAGAGAGAGAGAGGGAAAAAAAAATAACGGGTATTTTGTTTTGATAACCACCGGGTCCGGGTAGGCAAAAACATTCGCATTTTGAGTCAAGGATACGTGAAAGTAAAACCGACTCAAGAGTATGATAAAAAAAAGAAAAGAAAAGCAATCGCATTGGTGAGCAATGGGCAAATGCTGTCCAGGTTTCTAGAGTTGTCAAAAATGAAAAATCACAAGTAGAAAACCGATGAAGGATGATGGCAACAGGATACGGATTGACTGGACTTGAGTCCGAGGAGGAGGATCTTTCATCTTTCGTCCTCCTCTGTTCACTAAAATTGTCGCCTCCGGCTCTCCATTCCATTCATTCGTTTTACTTTTACCGAAGAAAATAATGATTATGAGGAATGTCAAGTACCAGCGTGCATCCGTTCAGTTGCCTTAGCCCTTCAAGAGAGATGATGATGTATGTACTCATGTCATGTAGCTGACGGCTCCGCTGTTGCTCTACCGCACACACAGAGACAGAGACACTGAACGATTAGGATCCCCGTCCTGGACGCAACAACAGAGTGTATGGCCAATTTGTTATCACTCAAGACTGGCAAGAAAGATTTATTGGGCTGGGCGATCATCTGTAAACCAAACTCAAAGGTAGGTTGCAATTATCTTCCAGCCTCCCAAGATCCAAATACCACAACTTATAACTTATAATGCCATGGGCCTAGTTATAATTAGAGTAGCAACACCACAGACAGAGATGATCTATATTCCCACGACACCGAGCATACAACAGTTATGCTGCAATTTTCTTTCTTTAGTTAACCACACCACACGCTCTTTTTTCTTTTCAAGGCAACTACAAGACGACAACATTTGGAAAGCAGCAATCACTTGGTGGAGTGAGAATGCCGTCTTGAAGCAATCTACCTTGCTAAGTGTGGTACTGTGGTAAACCAATTCTACCATAGTAGCCACTTATGGGTAATTAGAGTTCGGCTTGGGTCAGTGCAAGCCCTTGCTCACCCGTTCCAACAGCCTCTTGCAAAGCATTGGGAAATAAAACACAAATGATAAATCTACAGAGATTCCCAACGCTGTTCACACGGGCGTTGCACTGACCGATCTCCGGTGACAAACGCAGAATGATTTAAATAGAACGGATTGAAACAGGATTCAAGTGGCAGAAACTATATAATTGGAATATGGCATGAATGAGGATGACGATCGCTCAAATGTTCTCATCATCTATACGATGAACAAAACTGTACTCCATCCAGAATTACTAATCAAAATTGAAATGAAATTACAACACCTAAATTACTCCGAAGTTTGGTTTGAGACGGAGCATCCATAGCATACTTCAAAGATCAAACTATTTTAAGTCTTTTTATCCATCACTACAAACCATGAACTGAAATCAAGCGCCTACCAAAGAAAACCCTCTTCAGGCCGAGAAATTACAAAAGAGAATTGCCTTTGGTGTAACATTGATATTGGACATTAAACAGCGGCAACCTCAATATCAGTTGCCAGCAACGAAGGCCTAATGTACTCTTCTTCCTCCTTGGGGGTGTGAATGGTCACCAGATCAGGTAAGGGAGTTGTGGGGCCCTGCTTGCCCTTAGGATCCCAATCCAGCATGATCTTGACCTTGATACCAAGAACACCCTGCGACGAATAAAAAAGAATGATTCCGTGCTCAGTTTCTTAGCAATTAAATTACTTAACCAATCCCTGGAACAACAAAATTTTCTTCATACAACAGATACTAAGACAACAAAATACAATACCTCATGACTTGAGTGTGTTGTTTGTTTGTTTGTGAGAATGATACAAATCAATTTTTGTTACTACACGTGAAAAACTAAAAATCAACGCACTTTGTTTCCACAAGTCAGAAAAGAGATTTTATCAAATTGAAAACAACAGTCAAAGGAACTTCCATTTACCAATAAAAGATATACAGCACAACATTTCTTTGATTTGGGGGCGCAGGACCCCTAGATGGGCTCCAGTGGACCTCTAATTTCGCCTCTCTCTCTCTCTCTCCTATGACCTATCATCCAATTAGTCCTACACAGTAGATCAGATAGGCAAAAATCGGCAAGCAAGAAACACAACTAGGGGTGTCCATGAAAAACCGAAAAACTGAACCGCAAAATGCAGTTAACCAAACCGATCAGTTCGGTTTGGAACTTTTGAAAAAACCAAAGGAGCGGTTCAGTTTTTGGTTAACCTACAAAAAGACTGGCAGTTAACCAAACCGACCAGTATATATATTTATAATAATCTATTTATAAATATTATATATATATTATATTTTTAAAATATTTATAATATATTATACATCATTTATTATTTATAATATAATATTATACATATATTATATATTATAAATATAAAAAACCAAAAAACCAAAGAATCGAACCGGTCAAAAACCGAAACCAGCGGACCAATTAACCGGTGGTACCGGTTTGGTTTCGATTTGAAGAAATGAAAAAAACGGTACCACCGGTTTGGTTTGCAAAATATGCCCATGGTTCGGTTAACCGAACCGTGGACACCCCTAAATACAACTATATGAGTTTGATGCATTTAATTGGATGGTAAGGATAAAAGGATGCTTTAGATTTTTCTTTGAATCAGGCAAAGAAGCTTTAGAGTTAATGTAGATATTACTTAAGAAATATAATATTACAGCCAATGCTTATAGTTGGAAATTGTTCAATAGTTCACCACACAGAAAGGATGGTGAACCTAGGGCTGGCAATCTTGATTCCAACCCACCCACCTTGGAACCCACCCAATCTATTGGCGGGTCAATATGGGTCACATAACCTATTATTGCCAGTGGAAAAGGGTCAAGGTGGGTTGGGTCGAGGGTACCCATTACGGTCAGGATGGGTTGGGTCAAAGTCATCTCTATCCATACTCGCCAACTCTCAAAAAAACAATAACTGAAGTGACTCAAACTCAAACCTCCTAAAGCGTCTACATCTCATTACAATTCCAAACCACCATGCCACATTTCATTTTGAGATTAAAAGTGAAATAAAATAGATTTTATTTTCATGTTCATATGCAATTTTACACAAAAGCACTTCTACAAAAACAATTTTATAAAGTAATTTTATGAAAAGGACTTTTACAAAAGTACTTTTACACGAAAGCACTTACTTTTACAAAAGCACTTTAACACAAAAGCACTTTATGAAAGTACTTTCACAAAAAACACTTTTGTGTAAGCATAAAAGCACTTTTTAAAAGTACTTTTGCAAAAGCACTTTTTAAAAGTACTTTTGCAAAAGCACTTTTATAAAAGTTATGCATTCTGAAAATTTCTGGTATTTTTTTACATTTTCTGAAAATTTGATATTTTTCTGCATTTTCTACAATTTTTTTGGTGCTTTAATGCATATTTTTTTTTCGCATTTTTCTGGTGTTTTCCATGCATTTTCTGCAATTTTTAGTATTTTTTTGCATTTTTGCAATTTTCTACTATTTTCTGCATTTATCTACAACCTGTGCATTTTCGGGTATATGGGTTGACTTGACTCGTTTTTGTCACGTGACAGTCTTCAGAGACCCTTTAACAAGTGGGTCAATATGGATGAGGGTGGTTAAGGGTAGGTGGGTTAGTATGGGTGAGGGTGGTTAAGGGTCAATATGGATGGATCAAGTGGGTTAATATGGGTGGGTTGGTATTCAACCCTTACCCAACCCAACCCAATCCACCCATTTGCCACCCCTAGGTGAACACTCATCAATAGAAGTCTTACAATCAATCCTCAAACAAAGCCTCCTTATTGACTCGTTGCTTCGCTGAAGTGTCAGCCATTCCATTTGCTGATCTTCTAGTCCATATAAACCGCAGCCCAAGCTCCCTTTAAACACATAATTTCTCTTAGATGTTGTCTGAAGGGCCAAGTTCCCAAGCTTCTCATTAGCAGCCAACCTATAACCACAGCTTTGAGTCTCCTTCCACTTCTAGCCGTTGCAGTCCCCATTGTTTTAATGATCCAAGAGCTTAGAGTAGGGTTATCACTTCTACCCTTAAAGAACCTCCTACCCCAATTGGGCCCGAGTAAAGGGCCAGTACTCTTCCTTCCCCATCTCTGAAGACACCCCCAACTCCCCAAGGACCCGGGTTACCTACATTGTTTCCATCAAAGTTCAATTTCACCCTATAATGTAGAGGTGGGGACCGGCTTTCTAGGAGATGAGGAAGAGGAAACAGTTATAACACTCCAGCCTCTAATTAAGCCATCAAAAGAGAAGTCCTTGAAAAGATCCAAAGGTTTAAGCCAATGTATGACCTTGATGGTAATGCCCTAAATAAATTCTTCTCTGGTTTTTTCCTTGACCCTGGAAGATCCTATTATTTTTTTCTTCCCAAGCTGACCACAGGACAGCTTCTCGTTGTTCTCCACATCACCCTACCCCTCTGCTTTGGTAGTTGGAATAAATTAGAGTTAAATAGGTCCAAAGTTTTCAGCCAATGTATGATCATGACGGTAATGTGGTAATGCCATCAATGGTGATTCTTTTTGATAATTGAAAACACATAATAAAACACTAGATAGACAAAAAATTACAACCATTATGGTCTAACCATGATAGAAGAGAATCCCAAACACAAAAACCATCCGAGAATGTTTAAGAGTTATGTATTACGTAGGCATTTGGGTCATTGGGTACTCTGTCCATTTCTCTTCTGTAAAGGACACTCTTCTGTCCAATTTTATAACACAAGTAGGCATTTGGGTCATTGGGTACTCTGTTCATTTCTCTTCTGTAAAGGACACTCTTCTGTCCAATTTTATAACACAAGTAGGGAAAGATTTGACATTACATCTTATGTTACTAATCAACATATACTGTTTAGCTTTCATAACATTGCGAAAGTAACACGTCTGAAATAAGAAAATGAGTAAGGGCATACAGGGAATGCACATGTGGTTGGGAAAGGCATGCAGCTGTGTACCAATCCTCACGAGACCCTGTCTATAATAAATAAAAATGCATGGCACCGTTGATTGGTTATGTCAGACATTCTTTTATAACAAACTTCTTTGTTGTGAGCCTTGTGATACCCAAAGAAAAGACAACTAACATAAAAAGCTAGATCCAAAAACTTCCAGGAGAGGTTATAAATACCTGAGCACTTCCTAATGGATAAGGCATCAGAACATTAGTCATGAGAATCCAAACTAGGGGAGTATCAACCTCGGAGACCTACTCGAGGATATTCCCTTGTCAGGTTCAGGTTCTGCCATTATTGAGGGAGCTAGAGCTTCCTCCAACAGTTTTCAGTGTTTACAAAGCCCCACATCACCAGATCTGAGGGAATCTCAGTCCCTTGCTCTCTTCCCAATTTTCAATGCTCGGACTGTACCAGTAATTACCACCGCCTTCACATGGTTTAAATGTCCCTAAATTCCCAAATATTTCCAAGAGATATTTCCATTTCCATTGGTAGCAAACAAAATTTTACCAGAATCGGCATATTCCCCAATGAACTATGTGGAGTACAAGAGATAGTTTCCACCGCACAACATCAATATAACCTGTAAGGCTTCAACTAAATGTCATTCTTTCATCATATCCTAGTACAGGGTGGCCAGTCCTAGAACTAAACAAGCCCTTAATTACTTCACAAATGACTAAAATTTAAAAACACAACTATACTATGACTAGAGAAATCAAAATAATAGATTAGTCCCCATAGAAAATATATAAAATGACCAAAAAACCTCTACAATATAACAAAAAATAAAAGCATCTTAGCATGAAAGCATTATCACATAAAGAAGAAAATAAAAAAATGACATTTGAATTATATTAGAATTTCTTTCTTTGAATTGGATATGTGCTGTCCTAGAAAGGGTTTATCTCAAGGAGGCTACAAATGATCACATCACATATCAGCGGACAACTAATTGGTCAGAACTTGACTTGGGAAGACCTAAACTAAGTATTACCTAACCACTTCGACTGTAACTTATAGCCATCCAAACCATACAACTTTGCTCACTTTCTTAAGTTTCACTTTTCCTCTTGTTGGAAAGGGTAACAGATTAGGAAAAAAAACAAGAAGCTGTTAAACTCTTTCTACAGTGATTGCTCAATTGAAAGAAATGCCACACCTTGACAGTATTACAAAGCCCAAAATTCAAGAAACCAAGACATACAAGACAAAGTTGGAAAAGCTGACCTGTCTAAGAAGAACATGCCTAACAGCTGAGTCAATGTACTCGTTGACAGGCTGACCAGAAGAAATCATGTACCCATCCTTAAACTTCATTGACTTGGCACGTTGAGCCCTGAGCTTTCCACTCACAATCACCTGAATCAAGTAGAAACATCAAGACTGAAAACCCCAATTAAGAAAAAAAAAAAGATGCAAGTGTATGAAACATGAATTGAGCATACCTCACATCCCTTTGCTCCACTTTCCATGATAAACCTCAGCACACCATAACATGCCCTAGAGATATCAACCGGAAGATAAAATCAGTTAATGAGAAAAAAGAAACCACAATTTCTGTCCTCCATAAATAAAAATTATAATTCTTTACATTCATACACTTTTTCCTATATAGACACGTTCTCATGCTTGCCAGCATGAGATTTTAGCATTACACTAAGTAACGGCCTCTAAAAGAGAAAGAAAAAGCAATCATGTGTGTAAATTGTGAATGTACTCTAGATTTCACAAGTATTACAAGTTTATGCAAAAGGTATAACATGTAAAATCAATTTTTTAGTAAGTTGGAATGATAGCAGTTTTCTACTGCTCGCCTAATTGCCAAGAAGTTAGGGTTTAATCAACAGAAATATTGCTAAATGCTGTATTGAACCCTCAAATTTTATCTAATCAGCACATTTTCCTCTTCCATATATTCTTCTTCTACCTTCTTCTAATACTACCTACCAATACTTTTTATTTTCTTCTAAGGGTTCAGCCCCTATATTTTTTGAATTTTATTTTCCTTCTTCCTTTTCTTCTCATGAATATGTTGATTCTCTATACTTTAATATGAAATTTATACTTTTCTTATGAAAACCATGAATAATTATTAAAGAAATACGGTTATGGTACCTAGGGAGCTACCCTATGATCTATGTTTTTAACATAAAAAAATCCATCACCTAGGCGATGCCTAGGCGACTAGGTGAAAAGGCACCCCCCCAGTCACCTGGCCTCGCCTTGGCGCCTTGAAAACTATGGTACAGAGAACCAATTTGCTTTTTCGATGACATGATTGATAATGAATAATTCTCAGAGGAAAGATACCATGTGAAAGAAACAGTAACACAGAGATTAATTCAAATCTGAACTTTAACGCCTGTCTTTTATCCTTCAAGTTTTTTCTTGTAAATATTGGAAATTATAGTTTAAACCACAATAACAAGCATTCCAATTCATGCCTAGCCCAGACAACTTAATGACTTATAAGCGTTTAAACAGTTTTTTTGGGGGGTAAACCCATAGATAAAACATTAACCATGTTACGTTACATCTTCAACACATTATCAGTTCGCATCTTGCAACATGTCATTACAGATAAGAAAAAAGAATGAAAGAATGGCAAGGAACCGCCAGTATCAATGTAATTGGCAATCAAGAAATCTCCCATCCACGCTCAAATCAAGACAACAATGAGAATTAGTCCTTGGCCTCGGGAGATAGATCGGAATGCCAATGTAGTCATCCTCAGACACCAAATGGGTAAGAGGAACGAACTCGCTGTAGAGATGAATATTGTGAGGGAGGAAAATAACAGAGTGGGTAGAACTCTTTAAGTGTAGATGTATAACACATCAACACAAACAAATATTTTGAAAGTGGCGAATCCATTGTTCAAGTATCAACTAGCAGATACCAGAATAAATAATTAAAAAAAAAAACACGACAATATGCATCAAGGACAAGTTGGACAACTATAAATAAGCAAAACTGCATCCAATTTGTGTGCGAGAAACAGAAAGAAAAAAAGAGGAGAATATGCACCTCCGAACGGCGAGGCCACCCAGAAGCTTGTACCGCAGAGACTCAGCCTGGGCAATAGCACAGAGTCCCCTGTTGTTAACTTTCTCGGCGTAAAGTTCTACACTGTTCTCAGGGAACTTAAAACGCTTCTGCACAACAGATGTCAGTTCCCTGATCCTTCTGCCCTTCTCACCTGAAAAGTGTTCACTGAAACCCTTCATACCCAACCAAAGAACTGTAATTATCAAAGCCCAAACTAAACGATAAAGAATAACAGAACACCATGACAATATAACCCAGTTACCAAGAACATTCTGGGTCCTAGTGGCCCTAATGATTATCTCCGTACGCATCGGTGTAACCCTGACCTCGACACCAGAGTAACCATCTTCGGCAAGCTCTCTGGTGAGAACCTCATTAAGTTCCGCGAAGAAAACTCCATCAGCGACGAACTACAGCAACAAACAAGAAAGTAGTCGAATTAAAAAAAAAAAAAACGAAAATAACTGAGTCAAGAGAGCACAAATAATGCATGAGAAACATCACAGAACCAACCTTTCTCTTTTTGCTCATTTGAGTCGCCATTGTGCACGGAATTTAGTAGGAAACGCGCGACGCGACTAGCTGAACAAAATGTGATCCAAGCTATCCTTCGCGGGGTTGCTCTTCAAAACCCTAATTTTCTTTGAGAATTTATATGGAACGAAGCTTGTTCGCTGCTCAGCCTCCTTTTTTTTACTGACCTATCCTAATTCTTCCATGGGCCGGGCTCGTGCTTAGTTTTGAATTCTAATGGGCCTGCCTCGAAGCCCGAGCCCGTTACAGTGTAAAATTGAATCCGAAGCCTGGCCCATAAACAGGTTACCATTTTGCCCATGCCTTGCGTGATCTGTGATGTGTATAAGCTGGAATCACCAATTAGTGTTCAACTGTTTTACTCGACGGTCCTTGACATGAAACGAACGGATCTGGACCCGACCTGGCCAAGTACGGATCCATATAGCCTATCCGTGAAATGAGTCCAAGTGCAGTCCAGGTCCTCATCAGATCTCTTAGGGTATACCGGTGGCCGGTCCACCAGTGGAGTCTTCACTTAAGGTTCATGGTTTTTCGGAGAATTATTTATTTGGGTAAATGCATTTATTTATATTCTTTTATTTTTTGAATAAATAAGACGATGATCATTTTAGTCATAAAAGGATAATTTTACAGATTATCTTTTACCCCGTTGCCAATTCCTTCCTCCCATTGTTAGGCATGTTTATTTCCGTTGATCATTTAAGTGCGGCTAATTGGAATACTTATAGAAGTCACTCGGATCTATTTGAAATAAATTATTAGAAAGACCCTCCCAGGTTAGGTCCAAGCCCAACAGTAATGGATAGGTTACCAAGAAAAAAGAATCGTGAAATGCAGGAAAATTGCAAAACAAATGCAAAAAAAGAAACATTAATCATAGATACCTGAAATAAAGAAAGTGAACAGCATAAGTATCAATAAGCAGAAGCATACACAAAGACGAATGACATTCTTAGGTGAGTAATCATCTTAGGTTTAACGTGCAGATTAGGTTTGATTAATTAATGAGCCCCTTTTTCCTCCATAAACAGAATCATAAACAAGGTGTTTGTTTGTTTAATTTGTGATTGTTCGGTGGAAACTTGGCGCAAAACAAAATTTAGGTTTAGTGAAATATCGCCCCCCGCCCTTGAGTATATAAAATTTACCCTAACTAATAAAATATTGAAGCATATGATAATCTATCCAACTTCCATCTTGAGCCGTTGAACTTATTTACTGAAAGACAAATAAGCAAATTTTCACTTTTTCAGTTCAACCACTTCAATTGTTATAACGGCCCCTGAACCTAAAAGAAGTAGATGAGATAGATGATGTCACAAGAAACAAATACGTATTAATTGTATCATTGCCATGCATTGCTAAATTAATGAACATATTGACTCCTCTTCCAATGACAATGAACGATCTACTACATCTGGCATCCGGCCAAGGAACACAAACAGAAGGACCAGACGACTGGAAAGAAAAGGTCCCACAAGCCATCTGACGCTATTCACATACCTAGTCTGATGATCAAGAGGTTCCTCCCAAAAACAACCCATCTGACGCTATTCACATACAGATGATCATACGCTCCACGTAGGTCCATTCAATTAACTAAGGTACACCATTGCACTACATGTAACTAATTGCAGTTTTGAACAGGGCTTTGTAAATTGTAATGTACTCACCTGGACAAACGAACAATTCCTTGTGCTTATAAAGTAGTAGTAGTCAGGGTTGAGACTCCATGGATCATCCACCAATGTGATGACACGTTACAATTCTTTGTGCTTATAAAGTAGTAGTAGTCAGAGTTGAGACTCCATGGATCATCCACCAAAGTGATGACACGTTGAATCCGAGCAAAGAAGTGTTGCAACAAGAATCTAAAAATGTGACATGAAGGTCAAACACTTCGATACTGATCGCTTTTAGCCAGAACAATTCAGTTTTTGGTGTTGGTTCTCTGAAGCCCGATTATATGGCTGGCTTCCCTTGTTGTTGACCGCCGTCTATGTCCTGTTGCCCCGTAAAACAAACAAACAGGCTTTGGATGAGATCTACCCCTGAACTAGATCATATCTTTAAGCCAACGATACGCCCGATACAAGACGTATCGTATCAAAATTTTAAATCTTGTTGTAACCTCCCTCTTTTATTTATTTATTTATTTATTTTAATTTATCCTTTTTTTCGAGATATCGATCAAACGTCCAGGCCCTCTGTTTTAGAGGATAAAATGATGCTGCTTCAAAAATCTTAGCCAAGTTTGTCATCCAAGATTTCAGGAAATAAAATGATTGGCTCTTATTGATTTAACTTAAAACAGTTTCACTTATACATTCTGGTAAACAGACATCCTCAATAACAAAATCAGAAGTCGGAATGATATATACAAACTAAACTTGAATGAGTTACTGGAGTACGACAGAGGGGGCATTCAGGCTTTTCATTGCACCATTCCATGATGCAGTTCCTGCAATTATAGCAAGATGAGGGTTAAAAAACATGATTGTCAATTAAAATACGACTTATCAATACCATTTTGAAGCTGTTTAATCCGGAAGAGAGGCGATACCAGCAGAAGACATGGCCGCAAGGTGTGGCTGTTGGGTGTTGGCGACTACTTAGGCAGAGTGTGCATTTACTTACCCCACTTGTTTGAGACTGGAACAAATAGAATATAGTTGCAAAATCAGATAATATTATATTATTTTGAAAATCCACATGTTATAGAGATCAATGCTTCCACAATATTTAGATCCATGAGATGGATGAAAGGATAAACAACTCTTACGTGAGAAGGCTTTTCCAAATGATATACGAGTACAAGCATAGACTAGAAACTCAATACATCAGAGAATCCATAAAGGCGTTCATAATCTTAAGAGTTGGAACACTAAGTAGACATGACATATCGGTAGACTGTTAATAAGAGAAAAATTATACACATACCTCTGAAATAGTTGTGGAATCAGATGCCCAACTCCCCTTATCAAGGTTCAAATTGCTAGTCACAAGATTTCCTTCTTCATTCAGAACAGGCAAACCTGGTCACATGAAAGCAAGAGGAAATGACGCATGAGATAAATTACATTTCACATGCAAAATGTTTGTGAATGAAAAAAAAAGCATTTTCTCAAGTTTTCATTCTTAGATTTGTATTTAAACATTGAGGATTAGTTAATAAATCTCCTCCACTATACCCCCTTGTCTCTAATTGTTCAGATCTTTGAGGCTGCCCCACAATAATTGGATTTTACTCTTCTAAAATATTTGCAAACTTGAGACTCTTGCTGTAATGAATTTCTATGATATGTAATTAGAGTGTTTAGTCTATGTTGGAAACTTGGAACTAGTATGCAAGTGAAATTGTAGAGCACCAAACATAAAATAATTAAAAAGCTATTACACATTTGGAGTGTTGTATATGATAGAAAGAGAGATCAAAACCAATAGTACTATAAAAATGTTTGTTTCAATTGGTTACTATAACAGTGTTCAATCATCAAAGTACTATTTTTGTATCGTTTGGTTAATTCAAAATAATCTTATTTTATTAAATAATTTCTTTCATGTATTTTACCAAATAGTTCTGAGATGTGTATGCATAAGAGACTAAAATGGAGAAGGAAATCATGTAGGAGATTTGGATGTTTATGCAAGGAAAAGAGACTAGAAGTGACGTTTGGAGAGGGTGAAGAACTGGGAACTAGTCCCACATTGTGAAAAGAAGCAAAAGGTTTGCCAACCTTCTATCCATGGAAGCCCTCAAGGCAGCACAATGCATGTTAGATTGTAATTCATGGTTTGATTACTATAAAGAGTATTCTGTCATTCTTAAAATGGTGTTTCATCATTGTCGATGTCCTATTCCATGGATGATTCCATCACAGACCTTAATCACAGATTAGAGCTGGAATTGCTTCTTAGGGTGTGATTCTGGTTGCTAAGTTTTGGACTACAACCCTCAATGTAGGAGATATGATGGAATATTTATTAATGAAAATGTTATTGAGGCCTAACACCATGTTTTTTTTTTTTTTAGCAGAGGTAACTTTTATTGAATTAAAACAGGAACAAGTACATGAGAGAATGTACTACAAGCTAAAGCAGCTGAGGCAGAACTATAGAGGTAAGCAGAAGTCACTATACAAACTTTCCCTAAAAACCCCTGATTTTGCAAGGCTGTCTGCAACAGTGTTTTTCTCCTGGGAATCCAGACCAGATTTACATTCAATGACTCTAAGATATCTCGAGTTTCAGCTAGCAGATGAGCAAGTCTCCAAGGCCCTCCTTCCTTCTCCATTAGCCAAGCTATCGTATTTGCAGAGTCCCCTTTTATAGTTAAAGAGCAAAAACCCAGCTGTTTAGCAAGCCGAATTCCTGTTAGTGATGACAAGACCTCTGCTTTTGTAGCATCAGCTCTCCCAATTGGACCACTATAAGCCCAGCTGATCCCCCTCTCCCCACAGAAGACACCACCAATACCTGCTTGGCCGGTAGATCCTTGGGCACTATCATCAAAGTTTAGGATCATCCCACCCAAAGGTTATGAGGAATGCAGGATGGCTGGAAGGTTACTTTGGAGGTCATTTAGAGACAGACCTTTGAAAGCTTCAGAATTAACCACCCAAAGGTTACAGAGGAAAGTTATGCAAGAGATTAGGTCTTCCACATTTCTGAATTTGTTTTCAAAGGTTCTGGTGTTCCTTTCTTCCCAGATACCCCAAAGGGCTGCATGTGTCACTGTACTCCAATATACCCTTCCTCTTTTTCCTAGTACCATGTTGTTATGACCAATCTATTTTCACCTCACTGAGATGAATGGATAAGATAAAGATAAAACTGTACCAGTTAAATAAAATGTAATGACAAGGTTCAAAGTATCGATATGATACAATACGTCCTGTATCGGGCATATCATATCATATCTTTGGGTTTACGATACACCTATTTAAAGGTGTTTTTGTATATATATATATATAAAACTGAAACTTTGAAAAAAAAAAACTAAAAAAAAGCATGGGGTAAAAAGTATTGATACACACCCCTGCTGAGGTATCAGGGTGTACTGATACTTTAAACCATACAATGATGACACCAGGGAAGTCCATAAAATAACTAATAAATGAACAAAATATAACACAAATGTCTTGTCACTTTATGCAGTAAAATTAGGGTCTGATATTTGATTTTGCTAAGAAACTATCTAAGCCCACTAAGAAGTGCAAGTATGTGTACCAAATGCAATGTATGGAGATGAATGAATAAGTTGAATTTAATGTAGATAACCTGCTGAAGTATGGTGAGGCCCGAGTGATGTCTGATGGATTGAACCTGCAATAGAAGATAAATTGCTACGACGCAGCCCCTCAGCAGCAATGATACATAGCTGGATTAAAAGAAACACCCCCAGTATCTGGTATCTGTTGGGAACCAATAAATAGGAAGTTTCAAAATGTCTTACATCGATTGAAGAACAAATTCTTAAAAAAAGTTTAGATTCTAATAAACACATGGAAGAAATACCAGAACATCCAAGTACTATTTAGGAGCAAGAGAGTGCATTAAGATAAATCTTAACTTTGAATATTTTCTCTGATCTAGAGCTTAGGCAAAGATGCAAAACTTGAAATAACTGCAACCAATCCTTTTTGACATGAGAACTGACTACAATGTGGGACACCATGTAATACACAATATTTCACCAGCTTCTAGGCTAAAAATTTCAACTGATAAATTTACGAGATAATTTGGTTAGTTCAGATAATGAGCAAACCAAAGATATTTTCTGAGTACAGATATTGCTCAAAATTCTCAAACTCACTTGGTCAAGTGAAAGATAGATGAGCTTGATAGTTTGGCTTCACATATTTCCAGGAAGGAGAGTCAATGTACAAATTAGCAGCAAACACTGCATTCTATCTTTTGAATTGAACATGACAGACCATATTGAGAAATAACATACATTAATGCAGGTGTCACTCAAAACTAATTTTGGTTAGTTACCTTGCTAGGCCATCTACACTCTGTCTAGGGCCATATCTACACCCTAGTATGATCTTGAGATAAACAAGTTTTCATGTTTAGAGTATACCAGCATTTAATGTCATCCAGGTATATGTGTAAGATTCATTCAGTGTCCCTCAGAAGATGTTCCAGGAATCAGATCGTCAACAAGTTAACAATTATGTGGATCTTTTACCTTCACAAATCTTCTTATATTGATGGTACTATTTGAAAAGGTCATTATCCAATGTTGGTCCTAGTTATCTGGGGTCTTGGGAGGGGTGGACTGGAGCCTAACCTTTGGCACTTTTTTTTTTCACAAAAGTGGCCACTCTCCACCTCTGCTCTCACGCTTACCATTATGTCAGTGTTACTTTTTGATGATTCTAAATTTTTAGCTCCTTACCGAGGCCTTTGATTTGATGGCTTGCCAATAAATACATAACGAATACCTGCAGCTCGTTTTGATATATGATAATATAGACCTGCAAAAGAAAGATGACACAGTATATAACTGAGATTTAGATTCTCAGACCATATTTCTACCAATAACTGTCATTAAAATTTTTACTAAGTATTTATAACATATTATATATCACCTTCAAAGTAGAAAAACATGAGGTTGGTACGGAGGACCAATTGCAAAAACTCACGAGCAAATGGAAGCACCTGAATAACAAAAGCAGGATGTGGAAATTTAGCAGGTGCAAATCAGCAAATAGTCAACAGGGAGGTGATGCAATTATTATGGAGATATTATAACAGTGAATTCTAACCAAACAATATCTTCAGTATTCTTTCTCCAGATATAATGAGGTACAGAAGCATGCTGGCTGGAAATAATAGCAAAGATAGACAAATAAGTTATGAGAGATCATAGCATACTGTGTGCCATCTCTGAACTGCATACAACCATAACCCATAGATTTTCTGCTTCAACCTTGAAAAAGATGACATAGATGACACTGTTGTGGAGTTTGATGAACCTTCAGTAGTAACAGAAGATTGGGTTTGATTTCTTCTAGCAGAAATTTCACCATACAACTCATCAGATTGTGAATCAGCGAGGATGATCCCTCGGGCAGCCATTCTAGAGCTGTTAAAGACATACAGTTAAGAGTTTCCATTTTTGCCTCTTGGTGGGATGATAACAACTTATGTTGAACATCTCAAAAACAGGAAATCCTAAATTACCTAATTTTTTCTGCAAGGTAAGGAACTGCTGTCTGGTATATGATGAAAAGAGCACGCCTTGCTGGTGTTGGGGAAAGAGAATGTGGACCTGCAACCTGTGAAATCAACCATGAAGATTAGAAGATGAGAGGTAAATTTTGATTAAAGGGAAAAAAAGATAAACTGTATACTACTTGAAGAGAGAATATTGCCTAGAATAAGGTAATAATCAACATAAATTTTCATGCACAGACAAGGGCATCAAGCCAGGTAATACAAATGTTAACAACACATAATATCTCAACATCAACTTGGAAGTTCCTTGCATAAGCCTGATGGAAAATGATCACGAATCTTAAATTCTTGAGAGATCACACAAATAAATCTTTTATCAACATCATTTTTTTCTGATAATTGCTTTTCTCAAAATCTTTCTATTGGTGCTTCTCAACGACACTTGTGTTCCTAACTTATTCATTAGGATATTGCTTTACATGAATGAAAATGTCAATTTATTGATTTGAACTACATTTTATTTACATACTATTAAACCTGGAGTAGTGAACTTTCTGTTTCCTAACTCCCTAGAAATGAGCAATAATGGAGAAAAACAATGCTACAGACCTGAGTGATGTCACAATATTCTTCTCCTAATGTTTGTTGTCCTGCACCTGTTGTCAAAATATAATAAAGCATCTGACCCAATAGTTTTGTCTGCAAGACAAAAACAACCATGGGAAAAAAGAAAAAAAAAAAAACTGAGAACTGGATCAGTAATGCTAATGCAATACAAAAGAGAAGGCTTAACTAAGACTTTAAAGAAGAAAAATAAGATAGAAGGAAAGAATGGGAAAATAGATTCATACATGGAAACACTTATGAATCCACAACAATAAAACTATGATTTATTAAATCAATAAAGCATTAGATGTATCCATTATATGAAAACTTGAAACTTAAGCTCTCAACAAGTAATATTATAATTAGTTAAATTAATAAAGAATTAGGAATATTTGGCCAAACAGTTTTGTCTGCAATACAAAAACAACCAGGGTGAAAAAGAAAGAAAAAGGGGGAAAAAACTGGAACTAGATCAGTATATACTGATGCTATGCAAAAGAGAAGGCTTAACTAGGATTTAAAGAATAAATAAAAAACAAAGAAAGAATGGAAAACAGACTCCACAGACATGGAAACACTCAGATGAATCCACATCCATAAAACTATGATTAGTTAAATTAATAAAGCATCAGGAGTATCCATTATATGGAATCTGGAAACTTGAGTTGTCAAAGGTAAGATAAAGATCAGATGTATGGACATTAGATCTAGGTATGGCTCTATAAATGATAGGATCCAGTACAAATCCCTGGTCAACAACAATGTTACTGGAAATATCTTTACTTTGTGCACAAGATTACATCTTTAAGTTTTATTAAAATAAAATTATTTTCTGAGAATAGCTATGCTGGTAAACTTAGTATATATACCTTAATTATGCAGATAAACTTGTTCCATGAAATGTATACATTTTATCAGACTAGCTCTTTGTCAGATAAAAGGGTGGATATAGAACAATTTGAGCAATAACCTGGTTTGATAACTAAGATCTAGATCTACCTCATAGAATCATATAATTGTATCTTAAGTCTTATCTTCTATAATTGGATTAGGTCCCCAATTTGAAGCATTCAATAACTATGTAAATAATGTCCTAAGTTTTTCTTTTTCTTTTGTTTTTTCTTTCCAGATGAATTTCAACCATCAGAAAGCACCAGGAGACACCTCAAATTCATCATGTAATGTAACTTTTGAATCTGCAGGTTGAAGCCAAAGGCAATAATGTAACTTTTTAGATATCATTATTACACTCTTGACAAATAAACAATGCCAAGAAAAGGTGGATATCCCAAGTTATCTGAGGTCTAAATGCTCTATACTGCATTTAGTAGTGAAAATTCATGAAAAAAATAGCAATAAATTAATTATGCTAATGCATGCACGTTTCCCATCTTGAATGATTTGATCCATGTGGACCCCCAACATGCACACAAGAGCAAAGCAAATATTTGGTCATTCCATGAACTCACTCTGATAAAATAATTATTCTGGAATCTGGATTGCTAACTCAGGTTCCATTAAAAGGAAATTATGCAGCATTGCAGCCTGTAAAACTTGTTCAACCACATTAATACATTAATGCCTGATAAGTGTTGAAGAAATGAAGAAATTAAGTTAATAGAAGCACTGCTGAGCACTTAAGTTTTTCTCCTATCTAGTTTAGTCTAACTAAAGACAAAGAATGATAGCGGGAAAACATCCTTTTAGAGTCATTCTTAAATTATGTACCTTTATCATGATTTTTTGCATCCAAATCACCAAGATATACTGACATAGACATGAGAAGGTTCATGTGAGAAGCAACCATGCAGATCAAATCACTTGTACAGTTAGGAGTTGATGGCTGATAAGATCCCAATAGCCAGTAAAAATGAATTTTCTAGAAGAACATCTCTGGACTTGTAGATACTTCAATATGCCCCAAGTTTGGAGGAATTTTTTATATTTTAAAAAGTCATTCCTTAAATCCTACAGTTCTGCAACAGTTATTGCAATAAAGATAAACAGAATTGACAAAATCAAAGATCGGAAGCTTTTCTTTTCAGTTATTTTCTTTTCTTGGTAATGCTTCTTTTTTGAAAAGATCACTTCTTAATATAAAGCATTTGATGAAGGTGAAAACAGGTTGAGAACTTCAGATGATATTCATATAATGCAACATTAATACAAAACAAAACCTAACTGTTAAGCGTTAAAAGCAGTTCAGAAGGCTAACCTCACTCTGGTAAGCTACAGCAACCCTTGTACCTGTAATAAGAACCAAGTCTCTTAGAATTGAATGGTAAAAGTTTTCTCATTCAAGAGACGGTCAAAGAGAAAATCTAATGCAGGCAACATTTCAAAATGCTTCCAGAGAATATTGAAACAAAAGTATGCAAACTTGTAAATACAAGATACCCTCGTCAAGTGACAAATTCTTGAGTTTTTGTTTTTTTCTTCAACTTCTTATTAGTGAACTTGCCTGTTTAAATTTTACATTCTGCTAAGAGTGCTGGTCATAAGAAATTTGAATCTGATGAAAAGTTATTTACAAATATGGTATTGTATTTTACTTGCTATTTACAAATCAAATTTCTTACACCCAATGTATTTGCTATTTAACTAATGCCTCTACGTATTGTTATCATAGATCCTGGTTCAGAACCCGCCTTTGTCCTTCACCAAACCACTAATTGGCGTGTAGGTGGAATTATACCTATACGCCACTTGAAATACTTATCATTATGGTATACGTTGAAGGAGTCTTAAGCTGATACAAGCTAGTCTGCTAAGGCGGGAATCGCTATAATAAAAATCAGAAGCTTTTAAAAATGCCGATTATGGTTCGAGATCGACCCCCCGCCCCAATTCACTCTAGTTATAATCAATTTGCCTAAAGAAAATAAAGAGCTCGAAATTGGAGATGTCTGAAAGGGAAATTAGATTATCAATTTAACGGGGGAAAAAGAAACAAGGTGCTGAATAGAGAAACCGATAAAAATAGAGAATTAGAGCCATAGAAAACTAACCAAACAAATGGCGAAAAGCATCGCGACAGGCATCGTAAGCGTAAGAGGCGTACTGCTCATCCTTCTCGGCGGCTCTCATGATCTCCGGTTGCGCCGCGAGAGGGAAACGCCTCGCCGGTGGCGGCTGCGACGACGCGGAGTCCACCTCGCCATGGTTGGGGTTAACCGAACCAGACAAATCTTGCCCTCTCATTTCGCCTGGTGCCTGTTTCGTCAGTGCAACTACAAGTCTACAACACCCCCGAATCTCTCCGACATGCAAATTAGAAGAAATTGTTGACGAAGTGAAGCAGAATGGTAAAGGTTTCCTACATTTTCCTTTCTTTTCCTACTTTTTCCTTCAAATCAAACACAGCCTATAGGTGAAAGTGGGTAGAAAATCCGGTAAAGAAAATGTAAAGACCCCTGAACTTACACTAAATCACTTATGGTAGCCCCCATGAATCCAACCATTAAATAAAAATAAAGGTATGATGGAATGGGAAAATTATCAATATGAACTTTTCTTATTTTGTTTTTCTTGCTCGTTTCTCTAGGCTATATTTGGTTTGAAAGAAAAGGTAGGGAAAGATAGGGAAATATATACAAGGTTTGTAAAGGTTTTCCCACTTTTCCCTACTTTTTCCTTCAAGCACAATCTTAAGCCCTCTATTTTCTAATTGATCCAAAAGTACTTATAGTTTCTTCAAATGAAACCAATTAAAATAATAAAAATCATTTAATTTACATTAAAAAACAAGTTTCTTTAAATTATTGTTTCATGTCATTGACATGGATATCTCTTTTCATCTTAAAATATAAAAGTTATCCATTCCTTTATTCTGTAAATCAAGAAAAACCAAATGAAACCTTAATTCATATCTTTCAAAAACAAGCCTCTATCATTTCATCTAAAAATTAAATCCAATAAAAATATGCAAAGATCTATTGGAGCAACCAAGTGAAAGTTCAAGGGTCTTTGTCACAAATGAAAGTTTAGAGGGTAATTGTCATTGACCCCTAGGGGTGATCATGGGTGGGGCTGGGCTTAAATCCAAGTCTATGTTTTCTATATATAAAATATTATATATAGAATATCTTATGTTATTACAATATATAATATTTTATGTTTAATGGATATAATATGGATACAATTTTTTTCATTAACAATACACTACATAGTACATAATATCATATATAATACATATTATAAGTGGCATGTTTTATAATATTTATAAATAAAATATATTTTTTGAAATCCTTATAAAATAAATAAATATGACATAAAATAACATATATACATATGTATACATTATATATAAAATACATATATTTAAATCAAGGTTCAAAGTATCAATACGTGTCGAGCCATATCAGCCGATGTGTATTGTATTGGGGGCTTCCTAATACACCCCTACAAGGGGTGTTTTTGGAGTATCGACTGGTTTAGAGAGTGGATGGACATTATATTGGGCCTTATGAACCAGATTCAAAAAAGACAAAAAAAAAAAAGCTATCAACATTGCCCAATATGCCCGTAGTGGCGTATTGGGCATATCCACATATCGATATTTTGAACCTTGATTATATATGCAAGTTGTGAAATCTCGAGTTGGGCATGAATGCAAAACCTAAGCCCAAGCTTGAACTTTTTAGGTCATGTGGACCCGAGCTAAAATGATCATCCTTGGTCCCTACTGACCCCATAGTACATTTTCTTTTTAATTTACCCAAAAAAGAAAAGAGAGAAGAATAAATCCATAAGTACTTATATTATCAACAACTTCGATTAGCCAAACCCTACTTAATCTATTATTGGGTAGGGTAGGGTTTCAAATTCTCGAAATTGACCCCCACCTAGATTGGTTTTGAGGTATAAGGGTTTACCTTACCCAAATTGACTCAAAGGAAATGTCTCAGTTTGTCTTGGAGGAATTGGCCTTGCAATCAAACTTGTGCTAAAATAAGTCATGTGAATATTTGAACATGAACACTCATGGTTACAAAGGCCATAGTTCACTTTACCATTAAGTCATTTAAGTGATTTAATCATTTTTATTTAATTTAGGGAAAATTCCTTAGTACCCTGTACTTTAGGCCTAATGCCACTTTGGTCCCCAGACTTTAAAATGCGATGATTCAGTACCCAAACTTTTAAAACGTGTCAATCTACTATCATTCAAGTGTTATTTAATTTTCTTTATCAACCATCTAAACGTTGACAAAAAATTAACAGCCCCAAATCTTTGCTTTTTCCATTCAAAAAAGTTGGGGTCACGTTTGGGTGGGCATTCTGGTGGCCCCAACTTTCTTAAATAGAAAAGGCAATGACTTGAGGCTGATAATTTTTTGTCAATGTTTAGATGGCTGATAAAGAAAATTAGATGACACTCAAAGGGTATTTGTGTTTTTTTCAAATGCCACTTAATGACTGATTAACTTCGAACCAAACCCTAAAGGTAGGTTTTAGGTTCTACCTTAAAATTGAACCCGATCAATCCATCCTCACCCCTACTTTCAAAGCCGATTTCAGATAATACTTACCTCATTGGTCACCCCAAGAAAACGATATTCCATTTTTTATTAAAAAAAGAAGAAAAAAGCTCTTATGGGCCTCGATCCAAGCCCAAAGGTTAAAAAAGGGTATATAAATACTTTGGGGGTACCTTAAACTTTTAGAAATAGACACCTGAGTCCACTCGTTGGTATTCCGTCCGTTAAACATTTGATAATATGCCAAAACTAGCCTTCTAGTTTAGTTTTGGACCGTTTGCCCATCTAATGTATAAACTATAAAGCCCGGAATCGGCTATCAAGACGCACCAGCTGAACTACTCTGAAGGAAACAGGGAGCCTGGACGCCGAGAAATACTACAATCTAAATTTGCAGAATACATATTTTTTTGTTCAAAATTTTGCAACAAACTGAACCAACTGCTAAGCCCAGAAAAGAGACTGTTCAATCAGGCGGTGGCCTTCCTAGCTTTCTTCTCAGCAGGGGACTTGATTGATTTGGGCTGCTTCAGCTTCGCCGAAGTGGCCTTCTTGACACCAACCTTCTTCGCGGGCTTGGCGGCCTTTTTAGAGTAGTATCAGATTTCTTTAAGGGTTTTGCTTTTAGAGCGGCAGAAGCGGCTTTGGGTTTCTTCTCTGTAGCAACCTTAGTGCCCTTCACAACCTTCTTTTTACCCGACTCAGACAACTTGAAAGAAGCTTTAATTTTGATCAATTTGCCCTTAGGCACACAGTTTTTCAACTGGAGGGCCAATATTTTCCTGAAATTTGCTGAAAGAACAGCCTTGTGCTTTTCTTCCACAAGCTTTTCAGCCTCGTGCTGGAAATAAGGAGGATGAGAGGGATGGGAAGACTTTGCCGCCTTCGGCTTCTTTTCCTTAGGGCCTTCACCTTCTTCTCCTTTACAGGCTTATCGGGCTGGGTAGGCTTCTCTGCCATTGGAGACTCAGTTAGCGGTTGCTCCACCGCCACTGTCGCAGCTTCACCTTCACTGGTCGACGACATCACTAGAGAATAATAACCACGGATACGAACTCTGAAGACATGAGGGAATAATACGAAAATAGATCGCTTTCGCTTCACCATGACCATGAGAAAAATAGAAATATAGAATGGTTGGGGGAAATACAGGAAAAAAGAGAAATATGGTATGGTAGAGGGAAGAGGTAAAAATAATACCTGTTGAATGTTGCCGGTGGTGGGCACCTCGCTTGCCTGCTGGTGAAAAAAAGTAAAATCAAACAGACCTTGTCGGAAGAGCCGGTGATTGCCGGTTGATCTTCTTAGGTGGCGGCAATGGCTTCTTCTCCCCATGATGAACAACACTGGTGCCTACTGCCCAGATCGAATGGTACCCACCAGGGTTGTTTTGTTTTTAAATTTTATAATTTTAATAATTTAAAAAAATATAAGCATTTCAATAATTATACAATAATCGGTAACGTGAATTAACGAAAATGGACCCAGGTCTCAAAGTTCAGGGCACCTAAGTATTGCATTCGAAAGTTGAGTATCCCTATATAATTTACCCAAGCCTAGATCGGGTTGGGCCCTTTCATGTTTCATTAGAAGTTTTGCACAGTTGGACACGGATAGCATTCGACTGGTTGAAAACCAAAACCTTATCTCTCTCTCTCAAAATAAACGAGAGTAACGCTTTGGGGAAACAAGAAAGTAACAGAAAAAACGGCCGTTCTTGAGATGGCTGTGTCATCCACTGCGGCAACTGCCTGTATTTCCCGCCGAGATCCAGTCGGATTCCATTCTTCGACGCCTAAACCAGTTACTTTCTGGTCACCTTCAGCTCGCTTTCCTACCAAGCCACGAAGATGTCTGATCCGAAGCTCCAGCGATGCGTCGCCCGAGGCCGAAACTGCCACAGAAACGGAATCAGAAGAGAGTTCCGTTGAAGCTTCCAAGGTGCCTTATTCTTTGATATCTGCTCTCAATGTCGAAAGGGTTCTTCGTGGCATAGGTAACCCAGTTTTTACCTCTCAACTTCCCCCTCTTACTGCTTATATTATTTCTCGAGTTTAAATTTAATTGACGGATCTATGGTTTTAGAATGCAGCCATCACAGATGCCGATCACTATGGTAGACTCGGTCTTCAAAGAGGATGCCCTTATGACCAGGTTGGGACCTCTCTCTCTCTCCCCCCCCGCCTAGCGCTTGCCCTAAGTCCGTCTTTCCGATTTAATCCAACATTGAACTTATGCACCTAGTAATTCTGGTTGTTAAATAAATGAGAAGAACCTCAGTTTGTCTTCTTTACCAGGTTGCAATTGCATATAAAGCGAAGAGTGAAGAACTGATGAACCAAGGATTGGATGAAGAAGAACTAGGCAAGAAGCTTGAACTCTTGAAGGTTAGTTTTCCTTACCTTACAAAGTACCCTTACCATTGCAACTGGGAGAATTCTGAGTATGGTCTTCCTTTTGGTACTATTAGGAATCCTACTTAATTCTGTCCTCCGAAGAGGAAAGAAGGTTATATGACTGGAGCTTGGCAAGGAGCGAGAAGCCAGAGAGATATGTCTGGCCTTTTGAAGTTGATATAACCCAAACACCCACACAGCCTCCTCCTCCACAGGTCTGGATTTTCTTCCTCTACTCTCTTTAATTTGCTATATATTCATAACTTGATGGGCAACCACAGTTTGGACGTTGTTTCTGGGGTTCACCTTAACGTCTCCATTTCCACATCATGTGTTCTTCATTGCCCCCTTTCAAAGAAGCCTCTCTATACCACCACCGAACCAAGCTGTGAATCATACAATCTTACTCAGATTGACCTGATAAATGGTACAGAAAGCCTGTGCCCAAACGAAAGCTCTGTCTGTCATCCAGCTTCCAAATTAACCTGATAAATGGTACACAAAACCTATCTAGTCCAAACAAAAGCTATATCGTTCAGCTTCATCTCTAGCTCCGCTTTTCTTGATCACCATATCTCGAGTCACCAAAGCATGATCTACCCAATTCAATCAAATAACAGCGCAAGTGAGCCCAGATTTCCTACTCACTTTTCCTACCCTCTCTACCCACAGTGAATTGCAGCCACACATCTCTCAATTCATAATAGAGATGTATGGCTCCAATTCACGGTGGGTAGGAAATCCCAAGTGTTTGGTTAGTTGCTTACAAAATTCTTGTCAAGGGTCTCATTCTTTATTCTTTTTAGGACGATGGTACAAAAATTCAGATAATAATTGTGCTTCATGTTACTTATTTTTAGGGAAAATTTCACTTTAGTACCCTGAACTTTGGGGGTAGTGTCAAGTTAGTATCCAAACTTTTAAACATGTCATTGCAGTACCTAACTTTCAAAAAGTGTCAAGTTGGTCCTTGCCGTTAACCGACCGTCGGTTATCTTTTAAAAATGTCAAAACTACCCTTCAAAAGAAGACACAGTTCATTGTCTTCTACCTTGAGACTGAATTGGTTATCTTCAAAGAAAAAGAGAGAGAAAAAAAGATGAAATATGATAAAAGGAAACAATAACTGAAAGTAAAGAAATAATTAGACAAGCATGTGCTTAAGATCTAAAGGTAGAAGATGAGCAGTGTCTTCTTTTGAAGGGTAGTTTTGACATTTTCAACTAATAATTGATGATCGGTTAATGGCATGGACCAATTTGATACTTTTTGAATGTTTAGATACTACAGTCACACATTTGAAAGTTCGGGTACTAACTTGACACTACCCCCAAAATTCAATGTACTAAAGTGTAATTTTTCCTTATTTTTATTCAAAGAAGCTCTACTGGCATCGGTGGTCAGCAGTCAACTGTACAAACCATACACCCGTGAAAATCTATGTCACTGCCATAGAGCTTCTTTGTGAGTAGAATGGGGCATGATTATATAATGTTTTACATTGTTTCTAACCAAATAGATTTTAAATTTGTTCTCATTTCTACGACAAAAGAATTCATGTTTTAAAAAAAAAGCATTTAATTCATAGTATCATTTTCTTATTTTGCCTATTTCTATTCATTTTTGTCTATTCTAGAATTTTATTATTCCAAAAATAAAAGTTAAACCAAACATGGTATACTTCCCGTCTGTTTGGTTATTTTTTGATCTGTTAATCACTCAATCGTGCAAGTTTTACATATATAGCAACTGAGTAGCTAGTTTGTAATTCCTTTTCACCATACTTAACCCAGTGTTTCTTTTGTCACAGGAACCTGAAGATGTGGGGCCCACAAGGGTTGTGGGCTACTTTCTTTTGGGTTGGTTAATATTATCCTTTACCTTATCCATTGCTCTTAATCGGTGAAGGCTTTCTTCATTTTAGTTAAACCATATTATGTAATCACCATATTTGTGTTATGATAAGAAAAACCCAAAAAAAATTGTTATGATAAGGAGGAGAAAAGTCGAAAACTTCTTCATTTTCTAGTTACCCAAATCGGTTATATGTAAAACCAGAAATAGGACTCGACCGCCCGATTTGGTTAGCATGGTCAAAACTACCTTAAACCAATAAGAAGAACTATTTTAAATGTCAAAACCATCTCACGCGGATCCAAGTATCCAACCCAGAGACTAACCAGCTTACCAGTACGATGTACTCTTCCAATTATGAAGTGCCGTTCGGGAGGTCTTTCATGTAGCGGATTTTAGCTTTGCAGGGTGGGCTCCACATGTTAAGCCCAAAAGATATTTTAGGTGAAAAACCCAGAAAGCCCTGGTATGCTTCCATCTAGTCATGGAAGGTTTTCGGAACGTGGCTTCCGGTTAGAGGTGTCAATTGGACATTTGGACTGAATTTGGTCCAACACGATCCAGTCCAAGGTGAGTCTACACTTACAAATGGACGGGACCTAATTCAGTCCAAATCTAATAGAAATCAAATCAAATCCAACCATTAAAATGTAAATAGACTGGATTGGATCCAATAAAAATCAAATGAAATATAAAAAAATATTATTAAAAACAAAACATATAAAAATTACAAAAATATATTAAAATAATGAAATCTAAAAATTACAAAAAGATATCCTTTTGGCATTAAAAAAGCATTTTTGTAAAAGTACTTTCATAAAAGTATTTTCATAAAAGTGATTTTGTAAAAATACTTAAAATGAAAGTACTTTTATAAAAGTGCTTTTATAAAAATACTCAGAAAAGTGCTTTCGTAAAAATGCTTTTATAATAGTACTTCCATAAAAGTGCTTTTGTAAAAGTCTTCGATAAAAGTACTTCCATAAAAGTCCTTTTATAAAAGTACTTCCATAAAAATTCTTTTGTAAAAGTGCTTTTATGTAAAAGTAATTTTTAAAAGTGCTTTTATAAAACTTCTTCTGTAAAAGTACTTCCATAAAAGCACATTTGTGAAAATACTTCCATAAAAGTATTTTTATAAAAGTGCTTTTGTAAAAATACTTTTCATAAAATTACTATTATAAAAGTGTTTTCATAAAAGTGATTTTATGCTAGCTTTAGTTTCAAATTGGACAAGGGTTTGGCCTGGTTTAGGTTCAATTCAAACCAATTTATTTTGAATTGGCTCAATCCAATAATTATACAGACCATCCAAATCCGATTTGATAGGTTTGGATTGAATTGACTCCAACTGAAAACCGGCCAATTGATACCCCTACTTCTAGTCCAAGCTGAGTCTCATATGGAAACGCCAGGAACTATGTTTGGCGAAAATCCAAAAAATGTACCATTGTATTCCGGACGTGAAAAATGCAACTGTAAGACGAAGCTACGCTGGGTAGTTTCTCCAGAACACAGGTGTTCAACCACTACAGTTCTATCATTGCAACTCACCTCCGATGCAGAAGTCATACCAAACAAGACCTTAGCTTTAGCAGCTTCTTCAGAGTGGCTCAGTGAACATCACTGGTATGTTATCACTCATAGGTTTATGTCTTCCCATCGTAGATCCCAAACTCAAATACCCCACCCTATACTCCAACAAGACTAGACATCCCAACCCCATCCTCCATCCACCCATCCAGTTATTCCTATTTTCAAACGGACTGAGGTTGGGGTGAGGTGGGCAAATACCATCCCACTTCCCAGATCCGTCTCCGATTTTCCTGAAACAAGGTCAGCGGTCAAAAAATCCATCCCAGCAGAGATGAGGCGGGTCAAATTACATCTCTATCATTACTGATACCAAATGGGGCAATGCTACGTGCAATAACCTATTCTATATTATTAAAATGCAATTGTCTATGCTAGCATCTCCTCTCTATCCTTTCCAAGTATTTTTCTACTCTTACAAAGTTTTGCATTTTGTTGACATAATCTCTACCATCTCATGTCCTAAAACTTCTCTACTAAATCTCAATGACCGTTATCACATTTACATGCAACTTCCCAATGGCACCAATGTTTTCTTCCGAAACTCTCTCTCTCTCCACATTCAAATACATGCATCTAATTTTTCATCACATTAAAATATTAATATTTGAATTAAAATTAGATAAGTATAGAATATATAAAAAACTAATAAGAGAAAAACAACAGAAAATATAAATATTAATGAAAAACTTATAATAATTAATGATTAACTAATAATACTATAATTAATGATATAATCTTATAATAATTATTAATTGTTATAGGCTTATAGCTAAGAAAAATTATTAACAAAATTAGTTTTACTCATAAAAAACAATAAAGATTTATAAATTTTCAATATTATATTTTTATTAATTTAAATTCCATTTAAAATAATTACATTAGTAAAGTTACAAAATTATACTTACTTTTACTAATATAATTTAATAAAGAATAGAACATTAGTAAAGATATTAACAAAAAAGTAATACCAATGTAAAATGAATTTCAATCCATCTAAAAATAATAAAAAATTAACATAAAATTTAGCTAATTGTAGTTAAGGCTCAGTTTGGAAGGAGTAAAAATACAAATGTGTGGAGTGCCAAACCTTGTATTTTGTATACATTTATACTGTACATATTTGCACAGCTCCCAACTAGTTCTACACGTGAGATTTTTTTTGATAAATACTACACGAGATAATTGGGGGTAGACCCGTAGACCGGTAGAGAAATAAGATAAATGGTGGAATGTGGACAAAGTTGCATTGGAGAAGAGATGCAAGAGGCTCTAATCCATTGCCATCTATAACTTGTTCAAAGTATCGATACGATATGTCCCGACACAGGACGCATCATATCAGTTTTTAAAACCACAGGTAGTCCAAATATAAAGGCTAGGAATGTTTCATCACTTCTAAAGCATTGCAACAGTCATATTCAAATGATCAAGAAAAAGTAACAAACACAAGTATCAATGCCTTGCAACACGCGATACACAGATTTCTTGTATCGTGCGTCTCCATAGTTTGAACCTTGTTTCTATAGAGTAAAAGATTTATTTCATCTCAACTCTCAAGGCAAAAACATTTAGAAAATTCTCGTAGAGAAACCAGCCCTGTACTGTAAAAATGTCGGTGGTGGCTTCAAGCCTTCAACAAATAGCATAGAGTGCTAAATAAACTGATCCAAAACCTTCAAATGTGTAGATTTCGGAAAGCATTTTCCAATTAGGTATATAACCATAGATGGAATTTTACGCTACGTTTGGTTTGAGATAATAAGAGAACATAAAGTATTCTTAAGGCTTAGTTTGCAAGGAGTACAAATACAAATATGTAGAGTGCAAAACCTTGTATTTTGTATGTATTTGCACTGTACATATTTGTATTTGTACTCCTAAACTGAGCCTAACGAATTTCATAAAATTCCTTGAAAACTTTCTCTAGACTCTGTTTTTCTCTTTATTTTCTATCAAACCAAAGACAGCTTTGAGGAAATTTGGGCCTCACGTTGTATATTCAAACCATCCACCATCTTTGGAAGGCTGAAGATCAATTCTCGCAGACAAGTTACTAAAAATTTTTGGCCTACTCTCTCATCCGGTGCAGTTCAAAGCTTTAAACTCCAATTTTTTCAGTCATCTTGTGCACTTTCATTTAAACAAATAAAAAAGCCAAGCCAGGTAATTGAAATTCTAAGTTGTACTTCTTTATTAAACATATCCTAATTTATACTTCAAGGAGTGTTAACTGAATTACCAGCATACCTCTTGCATCTGATTGCATGTCCACTATTTCTTTGTGTATGAGCAACTGATTGTACCAAGGGATTACTCCCTTTTGTTTATTCCATACACAAAAATTCCTTCTGCAGCCAGTTGTCATGGCACTTAGAAAGAAATGGAAAAGGAAGGAGACCTCTATTACTTCATACTAAATTTTAATGATCCTTGATGGTATCACAAGACCTGTTCATCTGACATAATCATATCCTGGTACTTCAGGACTCCACAACTACTCGGCAGTCGGCACCTGTTCAACCTAAAATCTGTATTGGTGTTTGGGTATTATGAACCAAGTATGGTGGAAGCTAGTCTTGGAAGGGAATTGGGAAAACACAAGGGATATGAAGAAATGAGGTATTTTCCCTAAAAAAAAGGGAATAATGTAGTTTTTACAAATTTCCCTAATAGATCCAGATAGAATTGTTGAACATCCACAGTACCCTATGCAACTATACCTATAAAACATTTTGTTCTGGGAATTGAATTTAGAAGTAATATTACTTCTAAAAATTGCAGTCAGGGGCATTAATCTGAATCTATTCAATATTTTCCCTTGAAGAAAGGGCCCCTTTGTATGAGGACTGCTGCCCTTACGGTATAGAGCTGTAAACATTAATGTCTGTTTCTTTACATGGGCTGAGAAAGAATGCAATTGTGTCCAATCAATAGGGCATTACCCTGTCAAGCCTGGATATATGAGGATGACTATTTCACTGATTCCTCGTTATCAAGCATGTAGTAACCAAGCTGAAAGACAATAATCCCGCTTTTTCTAGTGATCTCTTATTCTTAGTCCATGTGTGCATGTGTTTGTCAACCTTATTCTAGTGGAAGGGAGGGGGTGTTTGATAGTACATGGGGTCATGGGTACATAGAATAGTAGAGACTAGAGAACATACCTCAAGCAGCTTCAAAACAATCTCAGCAAGCCATGCTGGACCATGACTAAAGAAGGTAATCCAAAATCTGTATTTTTCCTATGTCCTTGGTAAGACACTGATATGCCATCCTTCCTTGGGTTATGAACAGAAGAAAAAGGTTAGTTTGCCAGAAATTAACAAAAGCTAATCATGTTATTACTGTCCAAATGCCGACCACTGTACAATATCTGTATCAACAAAACCAGCAGACAATTAACATTAGATCTGAATAAACTTTGTGTTTTCAAAACAACCACTGCATCTTAAATAACTCCATAGCTTCTAGGTGAAGGAATAAAGATAAAATGTAACTAGCAAACCAACTTGGTAGTTGGTACAAATATCTCAATCAAGAAAAGTAAATGGGAAGCGATAAAGGTACCAGATGGATTGGCCATGTGGAATGATATTTGTCTCATATACACATTTACCTTAAAAGACAATTCTGTTGTAGCTATCTCTCAGTATCTTCTGCTGTCTGGTGCACCCATGTGCTAAACAGAAGCTCCCAAGGTAAGAACACAGTAGAAGTTTCCAATGTTCTAGTGTAGTCTCTTGCGTTTATGATGTTGATAGTCCTCTTCCCAGTTCTCGTCCAAGCCATCATACATCTCCCATCTGTCATTACTCAGCTGGTCATCGGTGGATTTAACCTTGTGCTTCAAATGCCTGGAACTGCGGCTGGATTCCTTCTCTTTATGCCGCCTTTTCTGGTCTCTGGATGAACTTGGTTCCAAACCAGATTCAGAGTGGCTGTGATGTTTATGACGGTGTCTTTTGACATTAGCCTCATCCCTGTGTCTGTCATTTTCCAATTCCTTCTGGTTCCCACGGTGTTTTCTCTGGCTAGAATCACTGTCATATTGATACTTCTTTTCACTATGCTTCCTAGAACCTCCTCTATGGTGTTTATACCTCTTTTTACTATGCTGGTTTGAGTTATCAGAGATATCCTGTATTTCTGAACTTGACCTATCAGAATAATATGGCCTGCGGTCTCTTCCAGTAGTTGAAGAACGAGAACCCTTCTCATGTCTCCAATCAACTGAGTGGATGTCTTCATCTAGGCATTTATCAGATGTGTGCTTCTTTAGTGACCTTCGAATGACAGTATCCTCAGAGTAGCTTCCAATGTCTTCCCTCTCTAACCGAGGCTTGCAGTCATGTGATCTCTCCAGTTCATTGTAGCGGTACCGTTCATCCAAATCATCACTATCATTTGATTGTTGTCTGATGAAAATAAAATAAAACTTCTGTGAAGTTTGCAGATTCTTTAGTGGTGCAGCTCACAGGAATCATAAAACTAAAGAATAAACATAATAATAAATGATGGAAATAGTGATGATAGCAGAAGCTGTATAAATAATGGCTCATCTAGTTTGGTTTTGCTTATCAGTTAAGGTATAATTGCTATAATATGTGACAATGAACCGGATCAGAGACATCTACAAGCTACTTATGAGGTAGCCCATCCAACCACTGAACTCCTTAATTTACATAATTATACACATGGCACAATGATTATTAAATATGTATTATTAAATTTACATATTACATATTCTGTTATGAGGATCGGCCTTGGCACAATGGTTGGGTTGCGTACATCTGTCCCTCCCCAGACCCCGCATCGGCAGGAGCCTCGTGTACCGAGCTGCCCTTATTACATATTCTATTATAGCCCTTATTTTACAAGAGATTTTAAAATAAGTAGGGCTAAACAAAATATATGATATGTAAATTTAATAATAGTAGGAAAACAAATCAGCATTCACTTGGGATTGGAGACCAAGAGACAAATTAATGTGGCCTTTTCCAGTACTTTGGTTTGTTAATTCATAACAAGAGAAAGACTGATGAGGATATTGCCTATCAGAGCAGGATGGGCAAAATGGAGGGGTGCATCCGGAATGTTATGTGATAGGTGAATACCACTTGATTAAAGGGAAAATTCTATAAAACAGTTATAAGGCCAGCCATGCTGTATGGAGTAATGTTGGGAAGTCAAGAAGCAATATGTACAAAAGATGAGTGTGGTAGAAATGTGTATGCTGAGATGGATGGATGGAAAAACTAGTTAGGACCAGAAATGGAGTCATCCAAAGTAACCTATGAGTAGTTCTAAAAGATGATAAAATGAGCAAAAGTAGACTAAGATGGTATAGTCACATGCATTGGAGATCATTGGCAACACCTGTAAGAAAAGTGATCTATTGCAAATTGAAGGGGCTTGTCATACATTGACAACACCCATAACAAAAGGACCCTTTATGCACTGGTATATTTATTATTTGAAATCAGTGGAAGGGCACATGCCATGCATGTGTGCAAGAAAAAAATAAAAGGGTAAAAAGATGAAAAGACATTTAGATTTTGAATATTTTTATAGTGCCTCTTTTAACCTTTAACTTCATTAATGGGTTTAAAGATTATATTTGGACAACTATCTGTCGCAAGCATTGACATTAAATGATGCTATTAAAATATTCTGCCTTAACTAATATAACTTAGACATGAAGCCAAGCAAGTATCAACATTATATAGTAAAGACAACAAAAGAGTTACCTTTGCTGACGTTCATTTGCAAGCTTGTTTTTCTGTTCGCAATCCCCAAGTTCCATAAACTCTGCACGGCTTAGAGGGCGCTCCGCACCAGTTACCACTGGAGGCACCAAACCCCCCATCCTCATAAGCCCACTGTAAAATGCTTCCAATGTAAATGCCTTAAAGGACCAATTTTTATTCATAAAACAAGAGATAATTTGTCAAAACCCCATAAATAAGGGAATCATGTAGAAGCAACATGAATGGAAGAAAAATGGGGACTTCATAAATAACAACACAAAGAATTTACCAGGGAACTGGCAAGCCAGCATATAGAGATGGCATATAAGAAGGGACTGCAAATGGTGTAACTGGGACCATGGTGGGATCAAAGGGCATCATCCCAGGGGCACCATATATATTCGCATAAGGCCTAACATGTGTCAATGGAGACCCATGCCAGTAAGATGGTCCATAAGCTGGCATGCCTCCGGGGAACACAGCATCCCCTGAAATCTCAAACAAAGAAAAACATCATTTACATGGCAGGCCCTTGTATGTACATATGCTTACATGAGATATAGGCACAAGCAACACATGATGCCTTTACCTGTCTGAAGCATAGGATGTGGACTAGATGCTGCTGGACAGTCTCTTATGAAATGGTCTGGAGAACCACACATGTAACAGGTACGGTCCCCCTGCTGTTGAATGACACAGATCAGAATATACATGGAATATGGTAATAAAAAATAATAACACCATCAATAAATAAAAGTAATAAGATATTGCAGACAACAATAAAAGCAATAACAATGTAGTGACAGAAGTAGCATCGTAATGGACATCCACGACTACCTTTCTATGTCTACTTGTTGCCATAAAACTTCCAGTGCCATCTGAAAAATCCAAAGGTCATTCTCAATTAAAATGGGAACATGCCACATCTGAAAAAGAAAGTTTCCAAGTTTTGGGTGAAGCTCTATGAACAATAGGAAATGAAGGTTTTACCTGCAGTATTAATCCACATTCCCTTCTTTTTCTTGCTTGTCAAATTAGCTGGAGAGATACAAGAAACAGAACAGAAAAAAAAATTACAATTTTAGAAACGGAAAGAAGATTTAGAACAAAAAAGTGAAAACCACATCAACCAAGTAACACCTCTTCATGCACAATAAGATGGTTTGTTTTCGTTATTTCAAAGAATAACATTTCAGCTAGTAGTTATTGATAAAAAAAAAATCAACTAATATAACGGCCTAACTGATTGATCAAAAAAAATAACAGCCTAACCTCTCAAATAGAGCCCAAACTCCAAAAAATAGTGATGGAGCCAAATTAAACTAAATGCAGAAATGAGAAAGCCTACTTAGCAAATTAATTCTACCTTCTTCCTTTTGCATAAGAGTTTGAGGCAAATTGAGGGGCTGATTCTCCCCTTGAAAATCAACAGCAACTTTCAGGCTTTCATGTCTGCCTTTAAACTCTATAAGACTAGCAGTTGCATCTCTTTCTCCACTTATTTGTTTTAACTTGTTTGATGAAGGAGCTGATTTCACAGATTTACCTGCACCTAAATAAATGATACGGCCAGTGCCAGAAGTTGATGTGTTGTTTTTGATCAGTGATTCACCAGCAGATTCTGTCATAACTTGATTTGATCCTTTTCCTGTTGCAGAGGGAGAATGAGACAATACTGGTTCTCTTTGTTGGACAGACACAGCACAAGAAGCTTCTTTCACTTGAATTGCAGATTCTCCATCTGAGTTTTAGGAATTTAGATGTTACATATTCTACCAATATAAAGTGTTTATGGTATTTATTTGACATCAATTTGAAGAATTACCAATTTAGCTCACCTGGAGCATATTTAGGAATAATATTGTCAGAACCACTGATCAGTATTTGAGACTCAAGGAAATGCTCAATTGCCTGCCTAAGAGACACATTTGGAAGCAAATTCTCTACCCTGCATTTGGAAGAAAGGCATTTGGGGCACCTAGCCTTCTCAATCAGCACCAAGCGAATACCTGCAGTTGAACTCAATGTAAAAATTATGCATACCATTTAAACATAAGAACCACAACAATGCAGTTACTAACATTTCCCTAAACATTCAAGTCAATGAGTTGCTTAAGTATTTTTTTTTATTGCAGTAAGCTCTCAAGTTTTTTTTTTTTTGATAAATAAAGCTCTCAAGTTTATTCTTCCCTTAACATTGTTAAATTTGATATTGTGTTGCTAGTGATTAACTGAAGTTGATGGTTCTTTTCAAAAAAAAAAAGAACATGCTTATCACAAAAAACAAGAGCAATCAGGATTGATAAGACAAAAGTAACTTACATTTGTCACAAAAACTATGCTGGCAGCATGGTATCATTACAGCCTCTTTGAAGATAGTATTACAAAGAGAGCATCTCAATTCTGATGGCAAATCAGTATTTGGCAATGCTGGAGAACTAGTATTAAACACACTACAAATTTGAACATAACAGGAAGTTAGAGATATGAGGCCCCGAATGGAAAAGAAGTTAAAAAGAAAAAAGATATCTTACCCATCCAATTTCTTTTGTTCTTCAACTTTAGATTTTAACTTTGTCTGTGATTTGTTCTCTTCAGCATCATGATGATTAGGTCCTGATATTTCCATACACAACAAAAGAAACAAAAAAGAACAAAACATATATATATGTATATGTTTCATAATAATGGAGCATGATAAGCTCAGATCTCTCTACTGAGATTCAACAAAACTAAACCACGATTATGTTTACCTGTTGGGCTAGCCTCACTAAGATCACTTGGTTCGGGGTTCTGAAATCTTATAACAGATGGCTCAATGCACCTGATCCAAACCAACTCTAATCAATTGTATGTACAGAAAGCCCTTTTGACCATGGAAAAAAGGAAAGATGCAGTAGAATGAGAATTCTTTTCGAAGGCATAAGTGCTTGTTTACATGGATGATGTGCTGTGCTGCTTTAGCAGATTCACATGCAGGTCTAATGTTTCTTCTTGTCATTAATCGCAGGAAAAGAAAGAGGGAAGAAATTCTTCTTTTTCTGACAACCATGTTTTGTCAAGAAAAAGTGGATGGCTGTAGGTTCCTTTACCTTTATTTTCAATTTTATTGTATTTTCTGATAGTTTTTTCAAGAAAATATATCTGTCATTTGGAAAAAAGGAAATCATTAGGCAATACCTACTTTCACATGCCAACCAAGTGATCTACATTTTAATTTTCTTAAGAAATCAACTTATTTTCTTCCACTTTCTTGGCAAGCAAGCACAACCTAATTATCCTCTTTGACTCTTTCAGAGCTAAAATGATATATATATTTTTTTAGATTTAACAGTTGTTTGTCCCTAAGCAAATTATTGAGGTATTCTGCGAAACTTATAAATTTTCTAGAAACTAGAATCCTAAAAAAAGAAGATATTTTTTTATTTTTTGGATATCTTTCTGAAGGGGCTACACAACGGGGGTAGCCCATCCCCCAACCCAGGTGCAGGCGGGATTTGATCCCAAGCCTCTGCTACAACCAGCAGGAGACCTTACCAATCTGCTGGTTGGCACCTTGCCTAAAATATTAGTGTATGAATTTCTTTTGTGTGTTAGGGGCATTAAAGATACAATGTTGCACCTTATCAATTTAGTATGTTAGCATCATTAGAAAGTAAGGTATTGTATTAAGATTCAGAAAGAAGGAATTACATCTCCGTATCAAAAAAAGAAGAAAATTACATCAGTCCATGTATATCAAGCAGCTGTACATTGGGAAGTAAGGTGTGTTATATAGAGCTTAGGGGTGGCCACGAGCCAAGCCTTTCACGAGCTATTCGAGCTCGGCTCGTGAGACTCGCGATCTTAGTATTAAATAAATAAATATTATTATATATATATATATGTATACAAACATACATACATAGCCAAGTATTCAGCTTGGCTCGACTCGAATCCACCCCTAATAGAGCTTTTCTTTTCTTTTCCTTTCATTCTTTTTCTACCCTTCCTTCTCCTTTCTTGTTTTTTACCCCTTTGACTATATAAAAGGATTTCATTAAGAAGGAGCTTTTATCATCCATATTCACAAGGCTTTGGTAAAAGTTTTAGTGCTGGCTGCCAACCTGACGCAACCCTCCTTATCTGGGCTTGGGACTGGCGGTGTAAGACAAGCTCACATAATTGTTAAGTTTACACCTAGATACTTAAGCTAAATGCATGGTAGATTAATATCCTTTTTATTATTGATAAGATATATAAGATCCTTATAGACTAATTTCTTACCAAATAGCCCCCCTTTTTTTGAGAAAAAGACAAAATATATTTAAGAGGACTGATCCCCTCCTTTGCACTGTAGTGTGAAACTGAATTTCGATAGCATCTCTATAGGTAATCCTGGTCCATCTGGAAATGGGGATGTTTTTAGAGATGCAGAAGTGTTAGTGCTTCTCCAGGGGCTCCGATTGGCTAAACACTAAACAGTTGGGCTTTCAACAGTTAGAAGTGAGGGAGACTAAAAGTTGGTAGTAGGCTGGATGCAAACAAATAGTTTGGGCACTTGGTCCCTTAGACAAACTCGAGCTAGGAGCACAATTTAGATGGACTAGGAGGTCAGAAAATTCTTTGGCTGACACTGTAGCAAAGCAAGGGGTAAATAGGGAGACTTTATTTTGGGTTTGTTTGTAAGTTAATTATATGACGAGGGGTCACCTTATGTGTTTGAAGGTGGCAGTTGTATAACTTCTCATATTATGATTAATGAAAATTACCATTCCCTCTCTCTCTCTCTCTCTCTCTCTCTCTCTATATATATATATATATATATATATATATAAAGAAAAAAGAGCCCATGTACACCAAGGATCTGTAGATTGGGAATATATAAAAAGCTGAAGATAAGTATTGCCTTTTCTTTCTTACAAAAATTAGGTTTCACAGCTTACTCGCAGCTCGTGTTCAAATGCACAAGCACTTCCCTCCCCCCAAATGGCCCAAAAAACTGCAGCAGGTACCAACTTCCAAAGAATCTTGCTCCACCAACTCAAGCCCCCCAACTGCCAAGCTTCCAGGAAATCCCTTGGTATTGCTGGAAAACAGGTTTGTTTCCCAAATAAACCCAACGCCTTTGCCCATACCTCAACCGCTAAATTGCAAGGAAGGAAGAGGTGATCAACTGTCTCTAAACAGCTACCACAGAAAATGCAATTTGGATTATCCACTATCATCCCTCTCTTCAACAGGTTTCCTTTAGTAAGGCACCTATCTTGCACTGCCATCCAAAGCAGAAAATAGACATTTTAGGGGATCAATGAGCATCATATCCTTGACCATGGACAAGTACTATTACCCCTTTGAGACAAAAATAAATAAATAAACATCTCTAATAATGTGCAAAGACTCTATCAATCAAAAACAAAATGTACAAAGACTCCAAGGATGCTGATATCAAAGAGACCACCTTCAACAATACAAGGGAAACAAAAGCTCCTCACTCCTTGGTATTCCTAAGGCTTTCAGAAAGTGCAATGGCCTCAACTCTGTTAGGATCTCCTTGACCAAAGAACCCAAAAGGATCTCCAAAATTCTGCCGTCATCAAAGGACCAGATTTTAAAGATACGGCTGCCAAAATTTAATTTGTCCATTGCTGGAAGTGGATAAAGGTCCAACAAACATCTAATAAATCCCATGAATTCTAGTGACATGGACACCAGAGATAAAAAATTCCCCATGGAAGTCTCTCTGCATGAATGTTGATCACATGGCAAAACCTGCAAAGCATTTAATCCTGATTGAACCTACATAGCTAGGCTGTTGGAAACAATATTTAGATCCCTAAGAATCCACCCCCAGACTGAAGAACGAGAACATAATAGGAACAGATTCCATTCAGCATATGTAACAATTTCCAGAATCCTCTAAAACAATTCCCACATCAATTAGCACTTGAGGAGTCTACTTCAATTTATAGAGAAGAAAGCATTAAGAATATAACAGCTTTAAGCCCCAAAAGAAAATCCATCTCCACTTCCATGGAATCTGCCTCACCAACCAATAAAGGCCCAAACCACATTGCTGTTACATTTAAGACTTCAACTATTCAGATCGTAGATTGCCTAAAGAGCTGCCATAAAACTTCAATCCCTTCTCGTCACTAAAATCCTCAATGAATAACCATGTCATGATTAAGATGGTTTGAGCATTGAAGAATCATGAGCAAGTTCTTCCATATCTCATCACAACATATGCCCCTAAACCCCTTCTGGTAGAAGCTAATAATGCAGCAAAAAAGGGGATCAATTCTTTGGGCACAAAATGCCTCTAAACTCATAATTTTACAGAAGGGAGTAGCACTCTAGGTCAAGGGCACAAAATTACTCCTTTCCATTAAACTTCCTCCAACTCTTCATCCCACCACTTTTTCACCTTATTAGCAAAATCCAGGTGTGTTGACCATGTATTTTCAAATTTAAATGGTAAGTGGACAGTGATCCAAAGTGACTCTTGGAAAAGCTCTAGCTAACATCCCTATCCAATGTTCTTCCCATTCAAAGTTAAAAACAAATTTGCCCAATTTAGAACAACTTGGGGAATTTTGGAGGTTAGACCAAGTGAAAACAGCCTGCTGGAGAGGGAATTCTAACAACTCCCACCCATCAATAAATTCATTGAATTTCCTCATGCTTGGCATGACCAATTGGTTGGGATTATTTATCTTTGTGAATCCAACCACATTAAAGTCACCATCTAAGCACCAAGGTCCATCCCACGAACCCCTAATATCGAAGAGCTCTTCCCACATTACACCTCTTTCTCTATACCTGTTAGGGCCGTAGAAATTCAATAGTACCTAAGTAAACCCATCTCTCACATATTTGAATTTCAAAGAGACTGAGAACCAACCTATCAATTCTTCCAGAGGTTCCACCACCTCTTTCCTCCACATTGTCACTATACCCCTGGAGGCCTCCCACAAAGGCACAAAGGACCAGCCTATCCCTCTAGAACTCTAGACACTTCTCACCCATCTTCTATCCAGATTTTCTTTCCTCAGCTTACCACATGTTGTCACCTTATTCTTGTTCTTTGTCTTTCTTTTCAGCATATCACATGCTATCGTCTTCTTGAAAATGACTATCAAAACAAAAAAAAAGTGAAACCTTTGGATGAGTGTGGAATTCCGAAATAGATTGTTTTCTAAGGAAAAATTATCATCACATTAGGGTTCAAGGTCATAGTTTCAAAAACGATTTAGAGATTTATCTGTTTATTGAAGGAGCTAGAAGGGCTAGGGGCAGAGGCAGACTATAACGAACATGGATCTAAGTGGTAAGAAATTGTTAAACATTCATTATTTAAGAATGGATATGGCATTAAACAGAACAGAATGGCAAAACAGGATTTGTGTAGTCAAGCCCATATAGTTGGGATAAACCTTAGAAATCTGTTTAAAGAAAAATACCAAACATTACAGCTGCATTTAGATCTCAATATATATATATATATATATATATATATATTGCATGCCAAAAATTTGTAAGGAAATAATTTTCTAGAAATATTAATTTTATCAAACTTTCTAATGTTTGATTGCAACTTCAAAATAAACTTGGAAAATGGGGTCATGGGCTAAACTACTTGATTTGGGACTAGCATGGAAGAGAGGCTTTTATAAAATTAAGGGTTTTCTTGGATGTGAATGATTTAAAGAGAGAGTTATTCAATGGATTCTTAAAATTAAACTCATTATCCCACCATGACACCAAGTAAAATTACATACCTTCAGAAAAGGAACAAGTCATTTTACCCCATTCTCACTCTAGTTTTGGATAACATTTTGCTTTTCTTAGTATTTTACTGGCAAGCAAACATTAGAAAAATTAATATTTTCCTAAAACAATCTCATTGCAACATATTTTACATCCAATAAAATGCAGCCTACACTGAAGGTCAGAAGGACTCAAATACAAGATTTTTAAAACTTCAATATAAGAAGGCACCTCTTCAGTCTCTATGCCCCCAATATCAATGGCAAATAAAAGAAGTTACGAGATATGATCAAGGAGACTCTGCAAGTCTGCATCTATGGAAATACAAAATTAAATTCATAATTTTGTACAACCCTTAGACAAGAGAGCCTAAAAAGATGCAAAAGGACTGCCAAGTTTGTGCAGCCCCACCCTACTGTGCAGCCTAAACACAATTTCAATTGCCCAGGTTTTACCTGAAGAAAGGGATGGAGGAGACTTATCAGTTTTCCAAGGATTATGATAAATTAGTTCTAATAGTTTCCAAAGTATTTGTTGGTTTCTTTTGCTCTTTTTCTTGATTAGAGTACCAAAGGAGACATTGTAACAAGTTTTCCTTTCATTCCCTCTTTCTCATTCTTTACAAACTTTGCCACCAAAATAAATCATATTGTTTGAAGGAATGACTTGAATATTAAAGTATTTGAGAAACATGCTGGTACCTTGGAACTTTACTATCTGCCTTTCCACTGGTAACATGATTCATCTTATCAACATCAGAATCAGAGCTCAAAGAGGGTTCCTCCGGAGAAGGACACAAATCGACCCCAAAATCATCAAAATTATCCATATCAATATTCTGCAGAACTGAAAACAAATGTCAACACATGGAATCCCCCTAAAGACAGGGACCATCAAGCAAAGAAAAAATTGGCATACTACTGGCAGTTCTCTATATGAAAAGTTCTTTTCTTTGTCAACAATTTATGTAGGAGTATGGCTATCATTCTATAGTTGTATGAGTGGATATATGTTTCCTGAACAGAAGAAAAGAAAATTATGTTAACTCTAGGGCATGACTTGGAATGGCTTGTGGAGTTCAAGAAGCCTCTTTCTACCCCAGACATTTATTGTAAAATTTCCAAGTATGAGTTTAGGCAACAATCACCTCAAACAGACGAAATGTATAGAACCATGGTATGAACGACAACCACACTAGAATGACTTCCACCAAATCAGTGGAAATTTTTGGCAGCTTTTTTTTCCAATTAGTCTTTATCATTTAAAGACTATTACCAAAGATTAATATTGTCTGGACTCTAGATCAATGACCAATCTCAATGATTGAGAGGTATTATCCAACTTCATCTTCATGTTTCAAGACCATGTATACATCAACAATCATGTTCCATTTTTTATGCATGTATGAACAGGTTGCATAACATGCTCCTACTACAAATTGCACATGTCTGCATTCATAAAAAATTACCTTCTTACATTAATAAGATAGAAATTTTGACATACCGTTGAAGAAGGTCCAATCTTAACAACGAAATTGGTCTGCTTGGTTACCAAATTCTTGACTGAACTAATGGGTGGCCTGCACCAGTTATTTTATATAAAAGAAGTTAGAGTTCCAAATGAAAATATAGAATCTATACTCATCTGCAAATTTTAACATGTTCAACATGTAAAATTCAGGGTTCCATCTTTAAGATTGATTATTCTCTCTGCTGTTCAACTAAACTAATAGAAAATTAAATGATGCTTCATCAATTCACAATCCAAAATGGAACCAGATATTTGTTTTAGATTTCCTATGACAGATTTTCAACAGAATGTTCTTGTCCAAAAACCTAATCTAAAAAATTTGTTAAATGATGCTTCATTAATTCACAATCCAAAATGGAACCAGATATTTGTTTTAGATTTCCTATGACAGATTTTCAACAGAATGTTCTTGTCCAAAAACCTAATCTAAAAAATTTGCTAGCCACTAGAAGTGTAAATCATCACAACCTAAACCAAGGAAACAGAACAAACAAACAGTATTTGATGTATAAATTGCAGCTAAAGGGATCTGTATCCAATAACATCATCATCATCTAAGCCTTGTCCCAACTCCCAGCTATGGGGTCAGATGCATGAATCCTGTTTCGCAATTCCGTTCTGTTCAGTGTTGTATCCATTGTTAAATTATCTTACCCAGTAATATGCACCTTGAATATGTTGCCCTGGTTCTTGTGTCTGAAATACCAATTATCAATTTTGTTACAATTTACAAGATTTTACAACTCTACGTCTCATTCTTCCAGTATTCTTCCTGAATCATAAATTCACCATTCTTGTAGATAGATTAATGCCAGAGAGAATGAATTAAACCCTTCAGCATGCCATAGAGAATAAATTAAACCATTCACCATTCTTGGAACTTAGGCATCTTGGCAAGCCAACGCAAGTATGAAGCTTCTCTATGCAACCATAATTTGGATAATATTAATTACACTCAAAGAAATAGACATATCAACCTAAAAATGCAATAAAGGACCAACTTGTCTACGTGTCAAAAGTTTTTTCACATTTGAAAGACAGTTTGGCTGGTGCTGGTCCCACTAATAAATTCAGGAAAGTTAATAAGAAAAAAGGCTCTCAAAAGACAAGGTTTTGAAGATGAAATTGCTGAGACCTGGGGATAAAAACATCAGGATTCTGAAGGGGATGAGTTGCAACGGATGCCGGCTTCTGAGGAAGGTTTGAGTCGAGGTCAGAAGTTGAGGACAAGGGGGAAGGCTGATAGGAATTGATCAGCACCCTTGAAGACTTATTCTAGAAAGAAGAAGGCCTTACAACAGGTCCTGATATGGCATAGTGATGGTACATGGGATTTGGACTGAATTGGACACCAAGGGTAATTTTATTATTTTACAATTTTTCTGTAGGGTCCAATAATAGGGTTTGATTGCCTATTTATAGTTTGTTTATGTTTAAGATTTCAGAGTCATTGCATAACTACGATTAGAGTTATTGAGTCTTCTTTGAATTGAAATAGGATATGACAGCTTAGTTTGAGTCCTACTAGGATTATCGAGTCTAACAGTTTGACTCCTAGAACTATTATGAGTCTAACAGTTTGACTCCTAGGATTATTATGAGTTTAGAATCTATAAATATGTATGGACATTTTACACAAAGAGCAATGAAGTTTGTTTAGTTTTCTTCAGCTTATGCTAATTATGGTGAGTGATCCCCATATCCTAGAGTGATCTAGGCACCCTGTGAGTGATTCCGCGTATTTTCTCTCTTCGTTCTCTCCCAATTTTCTTTCTCCAAGAAGCCATTACAGGCATCAACAACCATAAATTTCTGATCAAAGAAGACCATTCAACATTCTCTAAGGACTAGAATTGAGCTGGTCCTACATCAGTTTGGTATCAGAGCCAAAGTTATAAGCTGTTATCATCATGGTTACACATAGTGGCAAGCAGTATAGGGGTCGGCTGACAGATACACAAAGAGATTCATTGATTTCTACTCTTTGCAAGAGAGTTTAAATCCTTGAAGCACAAGTAAAAGAACTTCAAGAAGCTAAAGAAGAAGAAATCCAGCAAGCACCCCTAATCAGTGAAGGGGATGGAGGATAAAACAAGGGCGATGTCCATGAAGATGATAATGGTAAAGATGAAGGATCTGTTAATCTTAGAGGATGACAACGAGCTGCAAATTGCACAAGGTTACCACCTGTACAAACTAATTGAACCCGAAATACCTATCAAGGAATTGATCAAGAAGCATCGCTCACAAATCTATGATGAGATGGAATAAGCTGAACATGGTGGCTATGCAAATGATATAACCAAGAAGGTAAAGGTGGATGTTTCTGATTTCAATAGAGAATTAGATCCTCAATCTTTTTCAGATTGAATGGCTGCATTTGAGGAATATTTTGATTGGTATGACATGACTGATGATAGGAGGATCAGATTTGCACATATGAAGCTTGGTGGTCATGCTAAAGTATGGTGAAGTATGGAGTGACGATTGAAAAATAGAGGTGATGGTCTTAGATGTAAACCAGTCCTCAAAAATAGGTGTAAACTTGAAAAATTAGAGAGAAAAAGGAGGAAGAAAAGTAAGAGCAGCAGTACAAGAGAAGAAGAT